TAAGCATTCTGAAAGCAGAGATTTTAATTTTTCGCGAAGCCCGCTTGAGATTGACTTTCCCATTTTTCTGATTTTTGATTTTAATTGCTCAAAAAATTAAAATATTCCATTTTTTCAATTACTCTTTGATTAGCAAGTGAAAAAGTCGATCTCGAGTAGACTTCACGACGAATTCAAATCTGTTCCCAGCATTCTTATCGCTTCACTAGGTCAATAGGTCAACACGTCCAAATTACTGTATCTCACGTGGGTAAAACAAAGACAAAAACTCGTCGCTACTAATCCCCTCAAACTAAATGACCACGATAACGCAGTACTGTAAAAAAAAAAAAAACGGTTGATTAAGAAACCCACAGGATTTATAAAATAAAACTCTGAAGTCATTTTACCCACGAGACAACTGAAGTCTCTCTGTAATGCCCTATATCTCAACTGACCTGCACGATAACGAGTACTGGATGAGATATAATTACAACGCTGTCCTACTGTCTTGAATAGAATGGTTTATTGCCACAAAAATCTCAGTATGCCACTAAAATATTCTTAACGATATATTTTTAAAGTCAAATAAATAAAAAATGAACATAGAAAAATAGGCATAAAACGGTTTGAATTATATATTAAAATTGACTCAGATTTTAACAGATAATCGTCACTCACAGCTGCTGTTCTTCAAAACGCTGTGAAATCGAACAGCCCCTCTTTCGTGGTCGTTTTTGTCTTATATAGGTAACTTCCATTCATTCATCTCAGCATTTTTATTTCTGGCCGTGTTTTTATTACCAATATCCGTATTATAATTATTAATTATAATTACTATGCTTAAAACTAGTCGCGTATATTATACAACACTTTCTTCGTGTTTTTGGCCGCAATCACTATACTCCCGGCCACCCGTCACGGTCCCGGTCCCGTATTTTCCTATGTGTTTTTTCTTCGTGGTTTCCATTCCGACGCTACTCTTACAGGCGCATATTTCATACCGAGTGTTTCGTTTCAAATTTAATTCAAACCCTCCGACAATAAAATATGCGATCAAACACGCAGTATGTCTCGTAATTGTTTCTAGTTTTTATATAGCCGTATAGGTAACATCACGGTTCACAATTTATCGAAATAAAATAATAATAGCAGTAATGAAATCGTTTATCGCGGTTTGATAATCATACCGATAAACGATAACAATAATAACCGTAGTCGGTGTTTAATATAAATCGAAAGCTGTACCAACTGTCATACAATACAAGTGCAAATAGTCATTTTTCATTTCTCGTGAATTAAAAACTAAATTGTTTTTTTTTTTTGTTATGGCGCAATATCAAAATTAATCATTGTGCCAAAACTGGAATTATTGTAAAAAAAAAAAGAGAGAGCTGATACTGGGAACGGGTGCAGCTACTGTTGTGCGGGGAAGTTGGATAGGTAGGATACATAAAGTTATAATAATTTATATTAGTACGCAACGATAAACCATTGCTAACGAAAAACAATTAGGAACATATTTTGAAATAGTGTAATTTCTATGTTTTTCGTCAAAATTTAATGTTAAAACGCTTATGAGAAAAAAAGAAACTAATTGTATTAAACTCAAGTTTCTTTTTAGACCACTAAGTACAAATTATAATGTACTTTGTGTTAAATTTTCAAGCGTTTCTCTTAGGTCATATAATTTTAATAACAGATACGAAAACAGCAAACCCCTAAAAATAGCTATAATTTTTTGAACATTTTACCACGTCAACAAAAGGCCAATATAAGTATTTTGTGAAAACCACACGTCCCTAAAATAAATTTTAACCATATAACAATAAAAACCATTAATGCGGTACATTTTATCGTGTTTCCTAAGTTTTCCCCGATTTGTCGTAATTATTATTAGGTAAACAATGCGGAAAATCAGATAACAACTTTCTTAGTCACAAATAAGACAACATTTTATTTCCGAAAATGCGCTATTCTTGAAAGTCAGACAAAGCTATACGGTAGGAAAATATAATTTTACAAAGGTTAAAAAACTACGCTCCGGAACTAAAAAAAAAATCAAATTATTTAGAATCGGCATGACATCAAACGAATTTATGTAAAAAATTACATTTCTATCTTGTATACAAATATGATTTAAAATCTGAGCCCCAGTTATAATATTTATTATCACAAAAAATAATATTTAACAAACGCATGTTTTTATTTGCGTTTAGCGGGACACAACATTGCGCTGTTAGTTTATATATTACGGTACGTATTGACCCACTATCGAACTTAAAGGTAAAAATATTGTGCAGCGGTAATTTTAGCGATTCGCAACCTACAAGTAGAAAGAAATTAACCGTCTTTGCAATATCGTAGGTTTTTTATTATTTTTATTTTAGCCGCCCCCAAAGAAAATTAAAATCATAAAGAAATACATTCTTAATTTAATTATTATTAATTATTTTAAAATATATAAAAATAGGTAGCCCACAACGTGGTAGGTATTAACAATAATTTATACAAGAGAGAAGGAAAAAAAACCGTACACAGTATAAATTATAATTTATTAATATGGTTATCTTAAAAGTCAAAACTTTAAAGTGGGAATCGTTTTAACGTATACAGAGTAAACCATTCTTACACAAAACTGTTATTTTTTTGATGTACAAATTTTAAAAAATCCCCAACATATTATGCAATATCGAATTTCATTCTGTAACATGGTAGAATGATTTAAATTTCTAGTGACCTAACAATTTTTTGTTCGTTTGAAGATTTTTTTCTAGCAACGTAAAAGATAATAAGTACACTGGGTACTGGGTTGATTTATTATTGTTAGTGTTTTACGTCAGTTTTCAAAAAAATAAATCTAAGAGAACTGTTTGTGACAAAAAAAAGTTGATTCTTTTTATTATACATGTCAAGTTTGACGCACATAAAATGTTGACACTCCAATCACCTGCTTGTTCTACTCGTAGGTAAACCCGACGCTGATTTCACGTAAACAAAGCGGCGTATTTACGTGGGGAGATTAGGGAGATACATTTCCTAAAAAAAAAAAAAAAGGCCATCACAAATATAATATTATCTCACATTTAAGCGAGACAATTAATAGATGATTATAGTGGTTAGAGTTCTACACATTAGTATGGACAAATAAATTATGTAGTTGAACTTGCGTATTTAGCAGATAAAAGAGTTTAAGCAAATCTGCTATTTTCGCGTAGTTGATTGATGGACGTTCAGGTGCCCTTCTTTTATTTCTATTATATATTTTAGAGTTCCTTCTCACTCAACTAGGTCTAATTCTTATTTCGTTGTTCCTTTTCACCACACCAACTGTGGTAAAAATAATCCCATTCACCGTGTGAAGCACCCGGGCAAATGAGCACCTGAGCTTCTAATAAATTAGTTTTATTATTATTTTATGTTTATTACCGCCATCTGTTTTAACCTACTATTGTATAATACTATCTTTTGTCGTCTGCCTACTCTAACGATAATTATGTTATATTGTCGTGATTAATGTACTATTTCTAATATTGTGTTACTTAATGTTCTATCGGGCACCTAGCCCGTAAATAAATATAAATATAATTTATAACGACATATCTAATTTTTCTTGGCTCCACAGCTATTTCATTCAGTCCTCTAGCTGGATCTAAAAGTACATTTTTATAGACTGCCAGTTGTTGTATAGCGTATAAATCCATTTAATCGATTGTGACGAACACAATAATATTATTCAAGGTACTACCTGTCGAGTACAGGATGCGTGCTTACGTGTAGTGTCCCAATTATTTTCCACTGTAAAGTACGCCGGGCGATTATATTGTCGTTGAACACTTATTATTTCGAAAAGTATCGTTTGTTTTTCAATTTTTTCTTCGTTTGTCATCCTTATTTTTGGCGGTGAAAAGATTTTGAATTACAAACGACAACCTTTGTTGAAAATGCCTTAAACAGATGGTGTATTAGTTAAAATAAATTTCGATGTTCAAACTTATGATTTCCGTCAATTCATTGACGAGAAATTCCACTTTTAAGTTTGGCCGAGGGACAGTAGTGGAACATTATTAAAACGCCGCGCGCCGTGTCGCCACACAAATGATGCTCCACTACTCTCCCCTGACATAGGGGCAACTTAAAAGTGAAATATCTCGTTAACGGATTGACGGATATTAAAAATGTTAACACCAACATTTATTTTTACTGATGTTCCATCTATTTATGGGATTTTTAATACATATATGATGTTGTTTGAAAATCAAAAGTATGTAATCGTTTCATCCCCAAACATTAGGGCGACAAAAAATAATGTAAATGTAAATTTTTAAAGCTGCTGGTTTTTTTAAATTTTTTATAGAAAAGATTCTGAAAAAAATTAATCCTTTCCGAGATAATGAGTGTTTAACGATAAAAGAACCGCGACATCGTATTCCGCGATTAATTTTGAACATTTTTTTACGATTTTGACTCAAATTTAATCGAAAACATTTAAATTTGTATTTATATTCAACACCCTAAATTCGGTTTCGAAATTTGATCGTGCCCTGACCATAGACTAATGGCCAAGGCTCGGCGAAATTCGACACCGAGATCCCGGCCCCTCCCGTTCCCCTCATGATGGCACGTCACTACGCTCACAACCAGCGTGTGGGGTCACTTTCATAGGGAACCGTAATAGTATTATTACGTTTGATTTTGTCCACAGACTGACGGTGTCCGCGGCTTAAATGTTATTATCGCGCACACCGCCGTCGATATTTCCGAATAAACCACACAATAAAAATGTATTATCAATATCACGACGCGGGGAAAGACCGCCGGCAAATTCAGCGCCGTTATCGCGACGACCGCGGGTATTCTGTCCGTAATTTGTTAAATTTGTTAATATTTATCATCAAAATGCCGTTCGATGATATTCTGCGTTATCGCGATTTCTCCCGGGAACAAAACGCATACAATATGGGTAAATATTAATTTAATACAAACAGGAGTTGGCGTGCGAGTCGGTTGCAGTGTGTCCGCGACTCTCGTCCGTTTTCGTCCGATCCGCTGTTATAGGTTAGTGCTCGTCGTCGATTAACGACGGTTCGCATAAATAATTTTATTTTTCAACCAAAAGTTACGCGCGAAACGTGGACCGCAGTCCCGGAGCTCCTGCGATCCAACGGAAATACATGGGAAAATAACCGATAAGAAAACTTGTCGGGAACAAAACAAGTGCCCACACGAAGTTTACACCGTGCCCGAACGATGGATTATCACATTGGTCAGTATAATTTTTGCCGGACAATTTTTTACGCGCGGGAAAATTTCGCTTTCATTTATTCCCGTTTAGCGTTGTTCTTATTGCGTTTCAAACGTTCCAGTAATTACCAATCTGATTTTATTACCTATATTAAACGGGGCCAGTTTACTTATTGCTTTTCTGTACTGCGATATTTGAGCGTTTTGTACATTTATTTATCATTTCGGTTATATATTTTTTTTTACAATTTTTTACATATGTGATTAAATTCAATATTATTACGAAATGCGCTTACAACTACGTAATTACCGTAATATACACTGATATATTATTATTTGGAAATTAAAATTCGTAAAGTATGTAGATTGACACTATGATGTCAGTCTCTCTCATCTATATTACAATATTGTAAATATTGTAGGTATACAAACGCAAATTGTATGTATAAATTACACATATTATGTAAAGACCCTCCAGGAATGTGATAAATACCGTTTAGTCAAGGGCGCCCATGGGGGACAAAATGAAACTAGATTTCTGCACCTATTTACAGCATATAAATACGAGGTTGGTATTTCTCGAAAAGGAACGAGGAAGAAAGAGTATGCAACAGTAAACATTAGCTTTTTTAAAAAAAAAAAAACAACTGTTAAGTGCTGAAAATGAAATCAAGACATATTATAATATTCTGCTGTTTGCGGTTTACATTATGCATTTGAGTAGACAATTAGATTATTTATTTTTAAATGATAACACTTTACAAACAGTAATGAACAAATATCTATTTGTATAAGAATCCTTTGTATAGGAAATACCTATTTTGCATTTATTTTGATGGATTCAAAGCATAAATAATACATTTTTTTTTTTTTTTTTGGTTACTTTATTATTTTCTAGGGGGGTATGTCCCCCCTCTTCCCCCCCCTCCAATGGGTGCCCATGTTTACAGTGTTTATTAGTTGGAAGTCTGTGTTTATAACAGGGAGTAAAAACGTTTAGGGAAATGACGTTTTTTGTTTTCATTTTGGTCGCGTAACACGTGTTTGACAAAACTATCGAAAACAGTTTTACGCCCTATTTTTACTATAATATTAACATGGTTATTGTAAAAATTCATCGATTGCTGCCGGCTGGTTAAAAAATAGAAAACCATCGTAAGAAATCGGTATTTTATAATTCGAGTGGGGTTACTTTTTTCACAAAAATATCCACGGCCCTTCTCCCCGGTCTAAATTTATTTGTCTTCATTTATTATGTTAGGATTTATTTGGTGAGCTTCTACTTATTCTTTTTGCCACATTTGAATGGGGTGTCGTAATCTTTTAAGACGTGATAAAATAGTAGTTTTTTTTTTTGTTTTAAATATCAACGCCATTCCACAGTTTACATTCGCTCACCAGGACCTGAGTTAATGTGTTTTAGAGCCCAAAGTATGCAGTACAAAATGTAAAGTGTGCAGTTCGAAATTCCAGTTTGTTTTTTAAATAAAAAAACCGTGTTATTATGAAAGGACACTAAAAATGTAAATACGTCTCTGTCTTCTCAATTGCCTTCATCTTTTCACTCGCTCGGTTATTGTTAATTTCTTATGAACATAAAGTTGTATTAATTTGATAATATTTTTCATAATATTATACCTTCGCGATAATTTTTTTCGGGGAAACGCGACGGGTTTTCAGCGCGGCGGTAAGTCTCCTATCCCCATTCGATTTGATCGTCAACAGCGAAACGATATAAACAAAATACCAACGTATTATATATTTACGCGTAATCTGAACATAAAAAAGAAATAAAGGACAATTTACACGTATTGGAAGAGAACGTTTATTTATGCTGTCGTAAAATCTCTCGAAGGTCACGCGCGTATAAACACAGGACTGAATATAATATATTCGTGTATAAAATAGAATAACGCAGAAGTTCGTAACCGTGTAAAAGTTTACAAATATTATTTACAATACGGTGCAAATATTATACTACGGATAACGTTTTGCGTTCTGATAAAACGTGGCGCGTACAAGTATGTACAACATTCACGAATCGTCTTTTTTTTTTTCTTCAGTATAATATGTTATTAGGTTTCGTCGGGTAAAAAAAAAAAAATGCCTTCCCGTTTTATTCGAAAGTAATACTATGTATACTACGCGTAATAAAATATTAAATGAGACGCTTTAACCGCATTTGTCGGCTCCATACACAGAGCTCCAGTATTTGAGAAACTTACTTTTAAAAAGGAATTAGTACACGTCCATGATCATCTCGTTAACTAATTCTGTGCTCGTTCAGAGATTTAAGAAAGAAACCTAGTCCTTTTCACATTTCTTATAAAGGGACATTTATCGTTACTCAAATAAAAATTATTAATTGGTATTCATGTGCATATGTCAGATTCTGAGCGAAGCAAAGGAATATACTGGAATGCACTGGTTCTACAATGATATTATTCTATTTAAATTTTTTTTTTTTTTTTAATCTGTGAATAACTTTTCTACTGGAAATTTTGCTCCAATTTTCAAGTGTACCATCTTTTCTAAAAATATATCCGACTGAGGTGATACTTTTTTGAGGTCGTTTTTTGATTTTCCCAGGAGTATAATAAATTGGAAAACTGGAAAAACGTAGAAAAAACGGGAAAATATACGAAGTGTATTATTTTCAAATAGTAAATATTGCGGCCTTTCAAAGCATGTGTAACCTTCAGAATCGTTTTTCGTTAGCAATGATTAATTTTTGAGTACGGATATACATTAAATTTCCTCTCTTCCTTCACGACTTTCCACATATAACAGTGTCCATCAATCGTCTGAAGTATGTCCGTCTGTTCTTTAAATTAAATTTTATTATAGGTACTATATTTACTAGGTGTTTATACAGATATCTTTAGTAGGGGACATCGGGACAAATAAATATATTACTATAATAAATGTTTAATGATGTTGCAGTAAAATGATTAGGGTTTACTTAATACGGTGTATTATCTACAGTATAGGTACTTGTTATTTTCTACATCTCGTATGAAGAATATATTATTCCCAGATTGAGAGGGTTGATAAATAAATTTATCGTGTTTATGAAATTTCTAGAGTCCTAAAGAGTTTCTAAATCCACGGAACACAGGTTAAGCACCACTGCCGTACGACACGTAAAATATATTTTCATTTATTTTTATATTTGTATTATAGAACTCGCTTGATATTTTGGTTTTAGAGTGATAGCACTATTACTGTAACATTAACTGAGGACAATATTCTGGAGGGTAAGACGATGGGTTTTTTTTTTTAAAAAATTTTTTGGACAGCATCATTATTAACTTTATAATAGAATAAATAAAGTCATATTAAATTTTTATTTAATTTCGTGTGTAATTTTTCTGCTCAAAAGTGACTAACTAACCAATTCGTTGCGTGTATTCATTAATGTTTAGTTTACTTGTGCGGTTATATTTTCGGCGGTAGATATAATGTTATTTCTATTGTGATTTGTCGTCCGGTGATGTACATTTTTTTTTTTTTTTTTTTTTTATGGACGACAAATAACGTTTATAAAAACAATGATAATGTTGTTGCTGTCTGTTGTGACGCACGTATTTATCGGTAAACGAATAATTGTAATTCATTAAAATAATATTACAAAGTCAATATCACAATATCGATCGGATAAACATAATATGTAATATTATAATATCTATACGGAGATATACAGAAAAAATAAAACGAATGTATAACAATATAGGTACGAAGTTTCCTGAGAAATATAATAATACATTCGTTTTTGTTCGTTTTCAACTATCTACCAATACAGAATAATATTATGTTTTATTCACAAAATCGTTTTCATGCGTTTGCGTTTTTGAATACGAAATTCACGGTTGCCCAACAATAGTAATACTACTATATCGTCTAATTCAATGCTGCCGGTAATATTGTAAATAGATACATTCATTTGGAAGCGAATAATAATAAAGATACTGTTCGAATAATTTATTGCCGATAGATTGTGATTTTACTTGAAAATATCCGTAGGTTTAATCGTTTAGTTGTTGGGGAAACCATCTATAACTACTCTGTATTCACTATTAACATATTGCTCGGCGGGCTCCGAGAAAACCTGATACTTTTAGCCACACGGATAAACGCAAATAGCCCGAATATTTTTTATGGGCCAAGACGTTATTTCGTAAAAATTATAATAAAAAAAAATCGGTTTACGGTAACAATTATTAGCGATGAGTACAATCTCATATTATAGAGTACAGTTACTGTTCAACTATTCGATAGCCTGAAATAGTATTGAAATCATTTTTGGAAGTTTTTAGTCATGGGGAAACATGATATTCAATAGTTTATCTAAACTGTTGATAAATTTTTTAAGCTATTCAGAAATTTCCATCACTCATAATAATATAACGAAACGATAATCATGTAAAAATAAAAACAAATTAATTTTGTCGACTTTAAAATTAAATTATCGTTGAATTTCCGACTCTGTAGTAGATAATCTAAATTTACAAGTTCCGAGGAGAGGGGGTGTATTATATCTCTTCGATTAATCGATATACTATCGATGAATAGACACTATTGATAATATCGATACCATAATATAGCTGTGATGGCTGGAGACATTAGATTTGTATCCCAAAGATGGGTAAACGAAAAATCGAGTATGTCGAGTATGTCTATTGTATCTGGCGATATTTTAATTGCGTTCATTTTAACCATCTTCGACTTTCAATTCTAACACCCCTTCATAGAATACCACCCCGCATCCTGGTATTTTTCTAATTGTTATCCACATAGACAAATTATATTTAAATCAATTGAGTAGATAACTAAATAGGTACCGCTATTTCTTAAATTCACATCATCTGAAGTTAGCAAATACCCTGTAGGGCTGCAGCCTATATAACTCTGGTTATACACAGAATAATATTGCAAGGCTCAAAATTATATTGTCAGTTTTAATATAAATGGCATGGCTTTAGGGATATGAGTAAGGGGGTGATATGGGAGATTCAGCTTCCTTTCCTTCGTCTCCCTCAACCCCCTCGTAAATAATCTATATTACGCCTCTGCCTAGCTTAAAACATCGATACTATCGATCGATCACGCAAGCCTAAGCTTGGTGAAGTTTTTCGTTGGGAGGTGATGAACTCCACAAGTTCTCGCACCTCTATTTACTTTATCAGCGGACCCCCACGAAATCCGTATTTTCGCGGTTATTGTATATTTCTGATTCCGATTACGTATACTCACGAAATGACGAAATAATAAAATTATTATCACGAAACCCGCTATAAAAACCGCCCACCGTCCGCTATTGAACGGTGCTACAGCGCGTGTACCCCTCGAGCATTTTATATTATTTGTTAAAAGTTCAAAACACGACAGACATTTCACTATAACGAGCAGACATGCTTTTATAATAATAAATACCTAAGTATTACCGTGTTTCCCGTTTCCCACTTTCCCGTCCATCGGTGTACACATATATATCGACTTATCTACCGAGTTTCGCATTTCAGTTATTATATCGCAGATATATACATATTATAATAGCATGCCGCGGTTTATTTGCTGGGTTTTTTTTCTTCTTTTTCAAAACCAATCTCGTATACTTATGTTCAGTGCTATTATTATTATAATAATCTATAAGACGGGTTTTCTGGTTTCTGAGCGGTGCAAGAATTGTATTGATTTTATTGCGACGATACATTTTTACACTTTAAGTACAATAAGAATAATAAGACGTACATAATATTATGTGTGTTTTTTTCTATCTATATAAACGAGTTTTCATTCCGCTCTGGTCAAAAACTCCGTATAGGACGTAATATTATTTTCTTGTTGAATTGTGTGTCTATACTATAATCAAGACTCTATCATTATCGACACAAAATTCTGAATTTTTAAAATTCCTTGGTGCGTCGATGTCAGGTTTTTTTATCGTAGAAATTCATCGTGAATTTGGGTAGTGGGTGAGTCAGAAATTTGAATTTTGGGGAGATGGGTTAAAAAACCGTTTTTGCTGAAATCATGTGTGTAGATTAAGTAAGGGGACACGAGGTTCAGGCACTTCTAACGAAAAAACTAAAATTTAGATAACCTTGAGCATTTAAAATTTTCGAACGACTTTTCTTTCCGTAAGTATTTGAATTTCAGAAACTTCTAAACGAAAGAAAAAATCACCTTGTTGAATTTATGTCGATAAAAATGAGTAAATAACGGCAGTTTTTGGTTAATTATAGTAATATATAATTATTGTTTATATAGTTTTTGCGTAAAATACTTACAGTTTTAAAATGTTTCGTCATTTTTTGTAGTTTTCGATTACCTAATTGTTAAATTTTTGTACGATGTGGAAAATCCGGTAGTAAAAAATAAAAAATTGAATTAGACATTACCCGAATTAAAGGATTTGTTTAAAACATTATTTTTTTATTTTTTTTTGTAAATATTATATTATTATTTATAATAGTTAATTGTGTATAGGATTTGATCACAGTTATTTAAAAACAAAATAACAATTGAAAATATGAAACTCTTTTATCCAAAATACACAGTGACAATATGGATTTTTTCACTTTTCATAATATATTAACTTAAAATAATATTTCAATTTAATTTTTAAACGTTTTAAACAAGTGTTTAAACTTAAAAACAATATATTTGAAACATTTAAAAACTCTACTCATTTGTAACACCGCAGCTGTATAAATGGATATCGATTTACAATTTAGTGACCTAATATAGGTATACAGTCTGAAAACATGTTTGGCCTAATTTCAAAGTTATGTATTTTTCTTTAAGTAAATTTTAAGGGAAATAACAAAAATGTACCAAGCGAAAATTTAGAAATAAGGTTTTCGCGTCAATAAGCATTTTAATACCCATATAATAATTTTAATAAAAATGTATAAACAAAACTTTATGATAAAATTGGATAATATGAGCAATATTATGGATAATGTCTCAGAATATTATTTGATACCTAACTATACTATATTCAATACCCATCTGACGGCTACATCTTTCTGGGAGAATTTTGTGCAAAGACAGTTTCGTTGATGTATTTTTTAATTTAGCCATTGACTCTAATTTTTGACACAGTTGGTAGGTACTCCTTGAATAATACGTTTTCGTACGGTTCAGTGTAGAAAACGTTCTATCCAGAGTCGAAAAAATAATTAGAAACGTAAAGTGGTAAAAGTAAAATAGTAAGCGTACATTAACATGTCCAAAGGACGTGATATAGACACACCTTAGCTCCCCTCTAGCTATGCCACTAACTCAAACATTTTGTATTAAAAAAAAAAAAAATAAAAATAATCTCTATCTCATGTATAAGTTCCTATAAAAATAAAATATACGTATAACTACTGCGGGTTTCACTATAATATATAGAACCAATTATTTAAAATATTATCGTACATTTAGTTCGATATATTTTGGTGTTCATAGTTTCGAACCGTTTAAATCGTAAAAAACTATATATTTTCTTAGACGGTAATTAGATGTAGATTTATAGGCACACTTACCAATGTTAACCGAATCAATATAAGGCTAATAATTATTAACCAGAGCCGTCCTAAGGCCGGAGCGAGTGGGGTCCACCATCCGGATCCCGCGCATTGGATTCCTCGTTTAGGCTCTTCGCTTACGCAGTTGAAAAATCCTAAGTTTTATTTATTTATTTAAACAACGCCGAGCGGAAATTTTAGATAGAAAACTGAGTACAAACAATTAATGTTGTATACATTTACGATACACATAATATAATGCTGACAATATAATACTTAAAATCACATTTGCTTATTTTAATTGGAATGAAAGTTTTCTTTAAATACAACGATTTACGTATAAGAGTACAGTCGGAATTTTTATTTGATAATATTAAAAACGAAAATACTTGTACAGTATATGTCATGATAAGAGTGAATAGTCCTCTATATAGTGTACTATAAACAAATTATTATATGTATTATATGTAGGACAAAAACTAAAATGGTTCGGATATGTTAAACGAAGAAAAGCAACAAGCAAAGCTAGGACAATTGCGGATAGGTAACCAGAAGAGAACAGACAGAGGGGGAATATTCACTTTCATTATCATAGTATTTACTGTACAAATATGTTCGTTTTTAATATTATCCAATAAAAAATTGTACTTAAAGGAAACTTTCTCTCTAATTGAAATAAGTATTTTAGTATTAAGTTCGTAGGGTTCGTAAACTATATATCTCCACAATACGCCAGGCTACTAAAAAATAGATTATAATATGAAACGGAAAAGTAAGCATTTTTCTTGTGAATTCACATAAATTATAGATTATAATTAATATTATTTATGAATTATACAAAATAAAATATTATGCATGTAAGCGAAAAATATTACCAAAAACTGAAAATAGCACTAAAAATCGAATATACTTCAAATATACAAAATTGTATGTTTGGAATCTGGCCCATAAAACAAATATAAAGTTCACTCTACTATTGTTATCTTTATCCTATAATAATTTACAAATGCTATAAAATCTAAGTCCTGGTGGTATGTATAGAAATTATTTATCTGGAAATGAAAAAAGAGCAAAAAAAACTATAGTAGAACAACAAAAAAATATATTGGGGACTTTATAAATAATTCAAGTTCTAGCAATGTTACACTCACATCTACCTAAATTAAGAGCCATCTAACTGTGAGATAACAAATTAGAGTATATTTTACTATTAATTGCGACTCAAATAATCTAGGTACTTAATAACCATTAAAAACTGCGTATTAAAATTCAAATAACAAAATAATAAATTATAACATTAAATAATTTTATTAATTGAATTGTTGAATGTAAAATAGTAGACGAAATGGACTTTGATGATTATATTATTGACATATTTGCTGATCTCAAATCAAAAGAATTTAATTTTTAATTATCATTGTTATATGTGTAGTTAACTACAATAATGATACATGATATAAATATATTGTAAAAATTGAATTATAATATAAATATATATTTAAATGTTTGATGTAAAATACGTTTTAAGGTGCTCATCAATTCAAATTGGCATAGTAAAAACATATTTAAGCATAAAATAAAGATAACAGGTTAGGTACTGGTAAATGTAATAGGTAAAAATATTTTGCATTTTTAAATGGGAGAAGTTGCGGACTACGGGAGTGCAATTTTTTTTGTGTGGAAAACATCATATTTTTTTTGTGGGCCCTGCTAAAGGAGTTATGCCCCGAGCCCCGCAAAATTATAAGGTGAGTAGTAAAAACGAATGGCCTTTAACGATAAATACCGATACACGAAGTTACAGAAAAATGCTTTCCTATGTTATTTATGTTATTTAAATGGAAAAACTAGATAAGCGATGAGCCAGTTCTACACATTTTTTTGTGGGTAAGTTTGAGACCACAAGGAAGCAATTTCCAGTATTTCTTAACTGGAAAAAAAAAAGTTAAAAATCAAAACAGTCTATTAAACATGCTCGTTCCAATAATATTTATATATCTGTCGCATTGCAAATAAGTAATACAAAATATCTATAATTATTATAAAGGAGAATAAAATTAACGATTGGCACGACAGTTTTGTATTGAATATTGTTAATGAAAATGAAGAAAGGAAATAATGATTAATTTAATTAATTTATGTATATAAAAAAAAGGTCACTGGAGAGGCGAATACGACCCTCCACTTTCCCCGGGGTGAGCACGCCTCTGAAGTATCTATAAACTATCTATTCCTACGCGCCTTGTAATACTTTTAAATTGATAATGTTATAATATTATGCTGTATTAACTTTTTAATTAATCACTTTGATGATATTTTTAAAATACGCTATAATGTTGTAATAATTATAGTTATTAAGATTACGAAACGCTTTTTACGCGTGGGTTCGATGCATATATTGATAAATAATAAATAGAAATATTTAAGGTCGTCGGACTTGCGTAGTTAGTCTCTGTCCGTCCTATAACCGGGCGCAATATAGTAAAAACGAGTTTTCGTACACCCAACAGTACTTATACTATAAGACCTCGTTGCAAGTATAAATTCGATTTTAGTGTCAAAATAAAAACGAGACATCGTGTTATATATTGTATATTGTGTCTATAATAGAACGGATTTTTTTTTTCGAAAACTGAAATTGCCCATTTTGTATGATTTGTTGAAAATATGTTTAAAAATAAAAGCTGATATTGCTGACGGGCGTAACACTGATGTAAATGGGAGTCGGGAAGGTAGAATACATACATTTATTTAATTTACACCGGTAATCAACGATAAAATAATGCTAATAAGAAACGATTCGGGGCCAAGTTCAGTTATACATGTTTTGAAAGGTTTTAATGTTTACGATTTTCGTAAAAATTTGATATCAAAACTCTTAAACATAAAAAAAAAAAAAAAAAAAAAAAAAAAAAAATACTACCTTACACTCAACTTAGAATGAACCTCCTGTTAAATTTTCAAGCATTTCTGTTTCTCCAAACAATTTTATCCACATAGTGTCTATTAAATAAAACTCGCAAACATAAAGTGCATATTAATAGCTAAAAAATGTGTTTAAAATTGCACTACGTCTAGAAAAGGCAAATATAAGTTGTTTATCAAAATTCTAAGTTTCTACAAATATGTTAAAATTAAATTAAAATAATGAACCCATTATTTTAGGAAACTTTCCCGTTTTTTCTACGTCTTTACCCAGTTTTGCTCAATTATAAAAAAAATTCAATGTAAAATCAATAAACGACTTTCTTACTCACCACTGGTATTTAATAAAAGAGGTCTCTTGTCATTTTTCGATTGAAACAATATTTCTGGTAGAAAATATCGTGCAAAAAAATTAAAAATAATTACATTGTACGCCATAAATTTTTCATAAATTTATTTTTTGTCTTTTTTCGGTTTTCCTAATTATTATGAAAAAAACTTGGAAAATTAAAAATGACCTCAATGCACCAACTAGATAAAATTTCCTTTCAGAAAACGTACTACATTTGATACATCGTAACAAGATTTCTAGTAGTAGAATAGCTCATGTGCACAAAATAAAAAACCACAGATCACAGTAAAACCAATAGATTTTTTACTCCATTCCAAATCTAAAAAGGAATATCTATTATATTATTAGTAAAATGTGAACAAAATCTTTTTAAAAAACGAATTTAAAAAAAAATACTTTTATGTATTTTACATTTAGTACGGCGTTGTTATTAATTTTTTAACATCAAAATCAATATTTTATTACCCCTGTATGTATATAACTATCGGCCATAATACTGACGAAAGTACAAAAAAGTACGAAATTTTGAATTTTCATGATTTACGGTTCATCGGTCGTGGAATTCATGAGTCGTGTGTAAGGTTTGTTCGTCGTCCCTAGCCCAAAAACTGGCCACAGCTATTCTCAAATGATTTGCCATGTACAATCCTTTAGAGGGGGGGGGAGTTGAGGAGGAGGCGTGGTAAAACTGAAAGATCAAAAAACACGAATTTCCGCAAATGAGTAGATGCATGTAAGTACATGCGAGTTCGTATTGGTCAGGTTCATTCGTTATGTATATTTTAATTTTTCCTATCATTTTTACATGGTATTGTAGTTTATTTTCTATAATTTTTTTTTTAGGCTCTGTAAAAATAGGACCAGTTACCGCGACTTGTTCTTCATCGGCTAAATACGTCATAATCAAACACAAGCCGCAAGACATATTAAAAAACGGCCTAACAGCTCTTGAGTAAGGGGTTGACGAGAGAATTAATAGTTTTGAAGTACCTACAGGTTATTGATTTTGGGCGGGGACTTGGTCGAGTTTAGGGGGAGACATGACTTCCTAACTGATAATAACGAATTTCAACGAATTTTTAATGGTTTTTTTTTTCTTTTACGGGCTTTTATGTTACGTATACAGAAATATTAAAGTATATAATATATCGTGATAAAAAAAAAAAATAATAATAATAACAAATGGAAAATAAAACAACCGTAATATTATATTGACGTGGGTTGGGCTATTGTAAATATCGTTTCAAAGCCTTGATGAGCTCTAATGATGAGCAATAATATTATTTCATCGTGTTTTATTATTATTATTATTTTTTTTATCGGATGGGTACGGTTTTTTCTTATTTCAAGTGGACGCGGCCGTGATGGGAATTCGGTTTTTTTATCTGTATAATATTATTATAATCTACCTAAATTACATTATATCATTTACTTTTCACGAATAGAATGTTGAAATTATACGGATAAACCACGCGCGATAAGGATTGATTTGTTGTCCTTGCAGGTTAATTATATTGCTAAGAAAAAAAAAAACCAATAGAACAGAAGATCAAAAGTATAATATTATAATACTCTATAATCGAAATCGCGTTCACGAGGTCACTATATGCGGTTAATTTACATTTTTCCAAGTTTTTACTTTTCATTATCAGCTATAGGTACGAATAAACTTTCAACAGAATTGTTCTTCTTCTTCTTTAAGTTCTTCAGTCTACCAATAGTCTTTTTAAATAATAGGCTTAGTGGCGTAATCTGCAGGATTTATTTTCAAGAGTGGGAGGAGTGGTTATACTTTTCAAATCAATTTCTAAACAAAATGTTTTTAAAATAATAAATTACTAAATAGGCAAAATGTTCGATGCGCACATATGCATTCAAAATTGATAGAAATTGTCTAAAATTTTAATATAAATTATGCAACTATGCGTATTACGTAGAATTCGTAAAAATCTCGAATTTCAAGAAGAGGGATGTTATAATGATTTAAATATGCGCAATACTTTTGAATTTTGAGGCAAAAAAGTTTGAAGAAACATATCTTTTGTATAGATTTAAAGTGACAGTATGATAATGATAGTAAAAATGACGTTTGATGATTGTCAGTGGTTTAAGATATAGGCTATAAAGACGTAAAATGATTTTGGTAGATTTTTATCAATACAATTTAACAGAACATTAATGGTAAGTAATCAAAAAGGCTTCAAGAATTTATCAGGGTGTCTCAACGGCTTGTGTTACATACTTTACTATGTATAAATCCATAGAACACTGGCGCCCTGAGGCACTTTGTATATTGGAACAAATTTGTTTGTAACACGAATTTCGAGCTACACACTTTACATATGAAGGGTAGGTATTTGGGAAAAACTATAGTAATCTATTCGTGTACATTTTTCAGGGGAGTAAAAATAAAGTTTGTAAACTTTGTTTAATCAAAACAATTATAAATGCACGATAAACAATAATACGTCATGATACCACAATGTTCTGTAATATTATTGTAATAGATAGCGAGTTGAAATAGAGTATTTCGTAGTTAGATTTCAACCTAATTTTTCCGCAACCGCATATTGACTACAATATTTCTTCGCCGATATACTTAAACTTTTCCTTTCAATATTAGTGAAATATTATTATTATTTTTTTATTTCAACACACAATATTGCTACTAACGTGCTACCGAATCAAACCATAAAATCAAAAACGACAATAAAATGGATTACTACTGATTTCCCACTGGTATCCAACGTGCATTTCCCCAGCCCCACCCTTTTAACTTTTTCGAATTTTTTTTTATGCTATCATTTAGCAATCAATTTGTAGCTGTTTGTAAGCATTTTGTTCAAGAAGAAAGTTGAATTTATTAGGGGTGGAGCCACGGGACAGGGACATGTTTCTTCAACCCCATCCATGTCACCTGCTCAGTTAAGTAAAATAATAATTATGCCACTATTTAGCAGCCAATTCGCAAGCATTCGTAAGCCCATCTCCAACATTTTCGAATCGTTATTTCCCCCTTAAATTTGCAATTTTTCGAATTTGGCCATGTCACGCGCACACGTGTGGTCCTCCACACCTTTCATACGTTTCGTCGCGATACAATGTTATTAATACGTGTAACATAAAATTGCTATTTTACGACGTCTTGAAACGATTATTAAGACGTCCCCCTGCCCGGAATCGGAAATATTTGTGTGTACGATATTATCATGTAATTTCTCTGTGCCGCGCAGAGTGTGCGCAGTAAGATATCATAGATAATAATGTATACGATTTCATGACTGCAGTCCTCCGTTAATTCGTATTTAATGGCGGGTACAGGTAAATACCCTGACCATTCCGCGAAACGGAATTGGAGGTTTGCGAACGTAATTCGGTTCCCACACGCACTGGTGCTGTGCGATATGAAAACTATCGTTCCGTAATGGGTTTCATAAAAAATATCTTCATCGTACGGACGTGTATAAAACCATCGGAAAAATAAAATATTTTATCGTGCGGAAAGCCCGTGTCACATTGTGTTTAATCGTTACCAGGACTATTATTGTACATTGTCGTGTACACTTCTCATACCTGGTATACTAATATTGTTTTAATATTTCCAACATTACCGATACAATATAATAGTAATATAATACCTAACACGTTAATGCACGAAACGAATATAAGTACTATACAATACATTTTATGACGGATCCCACGGTCAAAAAAATTGTTTTCGCATTGAAACCGAATAAAATCTAAAAAAAAAAAAAAACTGCGTTTTTAAATTTCAGATTCTAACCGATTTACAACAGTGGACAGAAAAAACCGAAAACAACAGAATCCGCGTCCGTGTATGTTTTACAGTTTTTACTTACTTTTAAAAAAAACCGTTGTATAGGGAAATTCGAAAAATAACTTCATCAATCATATTTATATATACCAGGTGATCCATTTAACCATTTGAGTGGGTACGCTCATTATTACGAAAACTTTTTTTTGGAATTTGTAATGATTGTAAGAAACAATAGCTGCTCTACAATTTTATGTTAATGTTATTTTTGTCATTCGCCATTAATTTTGGGGGTAAAACCACGCTACGTACTTTTGATTATCAAATGGCAACCTATATTAAAATTAATTTAAATAAATATTAACTAATATTCAATCTATTTATGGAATTTTATGGAACATTAACATAAAATTGTTGAGCAGCTTGTATACTTTCCGAGACGATGAGCGTATCCACTTAAACGGATCACTCGGTAGTGTGCCGCAAATCGGCGCAATTTCCCACGAGAAAAAAACGCTACGGTCCACGTCAAGATTACCGATAGAAGTGTTGTTTGTAGAACAAAAACAAAAACGCAACTATAAAACCGCTAAATTTCTCGCTGCTCGTTCGGAATCTAAAAAGAAAAAAAAAAAAAAAAAACTCAAGGCCGTTTAAATAACGTTATATTATTATTGAATATCGCCAATATCCGTCGACTATATTGTAGTCGGGAATTGCGCGCGCCCATAGACAAACGATTAAAAACGTCGATCGACACGGCCGCAATAATAATTTTTAATTAATAATAATTATTGCTGTTGTTATTATTGTGCCAGTCCGTGACGCCGGGTGATGTTCATGAATCGTTTTGCGGAGTGGACGCCGGCCAAGTCCCCGAGTGTGTCGGTTTCGCAATTATCGAATACTATACGGAAACACGCGACGGGTCGTTACTGTAAATTATCTGCTTTGCGTACGCCTATATGCATACCTAAATATATTGCATACGGCGTGTAAAACGAAAATCTGACAACTGATAATAACTTTTGTTCTGTTCGACAAAACTAATAATAATTCGTTTGGATTCCGAGCGTAGCGACGGAGCTATTGGTTTTACTAAGACGTTTGTTTTTATTTATTTTTTCTTCTTCTAGCCTGTGGACACGTTTTTTTCCCGGTAAACTTGTTCCGGTTTTTACGCGTAGTGACTTTTCCGAAAGCTCGAGTTGTCTAGATTGCCATTTTTTTTTTTTTTAAATAAAAGCACTAAAGCGGGATTAAAACGTACAATTTCACGAGTTTATTATTTTATAAAAAACACGGACGACGTTTTCTACCAGAAAAAAAAAAAAAAATCACAAGACACCTTTTTTGTTGCTTTTTTGATTTACTTTGATTTACGGTATCATCGTCAACAATTTTGAGCTGTTAAGGAATTTTACTTGTAGAATAGGTAATTTTGAGCGCTGTGAATTCCTTCATTTTATGTGAAATAATTTTTTTTTTTTTTCACTTAGTATACAATTTACATAAAATCATTTTACAATATCAAAAATAGCCGTTTTGTAAATTGTATAGTCTGAAACAAATTATCAATACGTGTTATCGAATATTTACAAATTAATGAACGTCGTTAAGTTTATACGGTTTATTGAAGTTTACGATAATTTCAATGTTTTCATTACTACCACTAAATAATATCAATCGATTCGCCAATTTTTTCGTGAAAAATAATTTTGATAGTCAATAGCTTTTTGTAAACTAAAAAAACCGTTAGAAAATTAAAGATTCATAATTAGTAATTATTTATAGCACCGAAATGTTGTTTCGAAGTATATTTATGAAACGGTTATTTTTTATTTTGTGATAAATGTTTTTTTTAAATTGTTTATATTTAGTTTAAAATATATATATATATATATATATATTAACACACTAGAGGGATAATAACACCAGACTCTAGTAGCTAAAAAAAAAAAAAGAATTGAATATTGTTTTAACAAAACAAAAGTTATTTCAGGTTACAGACTGTGTACAATATTCTCGGTTATAATACTCAAAAACTGTTATTGAGATTTCGGAAAACTACAAGTGAAATCGAAAAATGACCTCCCAATGACCGGATCGAAAATTCCACAGGTACGTTCCTGTGACGTTTTTGATCGGCGTCCGATTTCTAGTAGAAAAGTTATTGTTTACAAACAAAATAATAACAATAACAAACACATATCGTCGCGGTGTTCGCGCGCAGACGGACCCGAGGTGTGTTTTCTAAAAGGTTTTCGACCGAGTAGAGAAGTATTACGAAACGTTACACGCAAACTGCTCGTAATATTATTACCGTGGACCCGATCGGTTCGCAATAATATTTATAGATGACGCCGTACGCCGACGTATTTCACTACAGTCTCGTAAAGTGATCGATACAATAGCAAACAAACGGAACAACAACGGTATAATACTCGGACCAGCGGCGGTCCTTGACGAACCTCGAGGGAGGAGGGGTGAAAATATTTTCCATAGTTTACAAAACACACACACGCGCGCACGCACACACACACACACACACACACACGCGCGCGCGCATTCCATTTTAGATTCGGAGCATGGCGAGGAATCTATTTGTTTTACTATGACGTGTGTGTGTTTTTTTCTTCTGTCAGTAAACAACTGTTCGGAAAGAAATCTCGCTCCGACGTAAATAGAGTGTAACACGTTTTCTGATAGACAATATTAGCTAGTTGATGCATTGATGATGTCATTTTTTGATTTTCAAAGGGATTTTTTTTTTTTTTAACAATTGAACAAAACCAAAAAACACGCAGAAAGAACTAGGACATTTACGAAACACGAAATAGTTATTTTATTATTTTAAATTTGGATTTTTTATTGTCGTTTAATTAAAAATGTTTGTGAAGACTTGAATTTTTTACACAAAATGTATATTTGTTTTTTCTAGGAGTGGTGAAATATTCAAAAAATTTAAGCAATTTTCGAGCATTGTATAGACATTTTAATTTTGCGAGTTTTCTACGTAATTTTTATTCGGTAGGCACTACGTGGATAAAACTATATTAGACTAAACAGAAACGCTTGCAAATTTTAAGCTTCATCGTAAGTCGTACTTAATGGTCGAAAAGAAAAAATGTGTAGTGTAATGTAGTATTTTTATTTTTTTTATAGCGTTTTTAAAATCAAATTTTGACGAAAATCGTAAATATTACGTATTTCCAAAACATATTACTGTGCAACTGAACTTCGCTCCGAGTCGTTTGTCGTTGGTTACAGACATAAATTAAATAACTTTATGTATCCCTACCTTCTCGAATTTTCGTTTTTTCATTTTATTAGAATTTCGGTAAGTACGCGAGAAACAATTCGATGTGGTTCGAGTATACCGCAGCGTATTATAAAATAACAAAAATCGATGTAGCGCGTACGTTCGAATAATAGTATTCGATACTGCAATGTCAGTAGTATTGGTGCAAATAATATTAGTTGCCATTGTTGAATATTTGGAAAACTATCTTGAAACTCGTAATGTTATCGTAATTGACCGCGACGTCGTTCACTGTTTAATTGCGTGCGTATTATTCGTATACGAATACTATAACAATATTGTTTGGGTACCGTGCTGAAACCCGTATCAAAACGATAGCGGCCAGACTATCGGAGTTCGAATATCTGAATGATATTCGATTAGTTCCTATCACCGCGCTGCGCGCTTTTGCACAAACGGGAAATTATTAAACGGAGAATTTGGCGATATCGCTACATTATTATTTAACGTATAAGGTTGTAATGATATTCGGCGGTGTATTGTTCGAACAGTAATGATATTATGGGTATGCGAGTGAATATAATTATTTTCATACAGTTTTCGAGGCCCGTTCACAATATTGTTTCTTATCGTGGTGATAGTGTTGTGCGTGCTGTACGGAATACACACGAGTAATATTCGATGGTTTTGTTTTGGACAATTCGTATTTTGTCCGGTTTAAATTTTTAACTCGAACGACAAATACGTATGTTTCGTGTGCCCGTAACTATTTGCGATTTTAAACTCTATCGGGTACCCAATCTCAATCGACCGTACCGAAATGTAGGTGGACGATTAAGTTTCGAACGTTTACTTTTGCGAAGGATTTCGTTTTCGTTTCCGCCGTACGTTTTTCCGGCATATTCATCTACGCGAACGTGTAACACAGACGAATACTCTACTGTTATTTGTACTGATCCGTGTGGGCACTCGGGTTCGTTAAAAGCGAACCCGATAGCGATGGCATTACAAGTTACCAACGGGGGAAATTGAACGGCAATAATCAATCCTCGCCGGCGGACCACCCGGTACCCGACCGACGACGGTAAACGCGATTTTTGAAACGTTTCCCGGCAACCTTATCGATGGCGGAAAAGCGCGTTCGGTTTTTAAACAGCGACGCACGTTATTATTGCGGCGGACAATGCGGCCGAAACGCTATTGCCAAACTGCACCGAGTATCGCTCTCCGGGTCCGCGGCGGTTAAACGGTTTCGGTGCCGCCCCCTGCGCCGAGAAAAATAAATAGATTCGCGCGTCCGACGCGTTTAATAAATAATAACGCAATAATAGTTCGCCGAAATGCGGAGACCGCGCGTTCGCCACGACGGTCGCCAAATAATACCGAATAATAATATAACGTACACGGGTGGACCGGGGACCTTCCTTCAGGCGCAGGGGCGGGCCCGGAATGCCCTTCGGCTAGGTCCCACCCTCGTTACGCCTTATTACATTATTATCGCGCATAATGGCACGAGCTGCACGGCGTGCAACGCGAACGGAGCGATACTGCGACGCCGGGTTTACGGTACAGCGGATATACGCGCGGGACGGGCGCCCGGTCGAGCGGTACGAGCGGGCGAGTAGTGATTATTGAAACCGCGTTTCCGTCCGCCGGGCCAAGCGGTCGCCCCCGTCGTCTACGCGTGCCGCACGCTAGACATCCGACAGTTTCTCTGCAGGGCGTTCGGTCGCCGGAGAAACTATTCGATAGTCCGCCCGAACCGTCGACGGTGTAGACTATCCGAAAGTGTCCGGACACTGTAGTGCGTCTCGGCGGCGGCGGCGGCGACGGCCGTTCGACCCGGCCAATAAAACACCGACTCGGTCGCCATTGACGTTCGGCCGTGTAGCGAGACGAGTCCCGCGGCCGAGCGCTGGTTCCGCGCGAACCGAATGTCACTAAAGCGAGTAGCTAAGCACCCGACGATACACGTCGGTGACAATCCCGTGTACCGGTTCTGGTAAAGGATTTCCGGCAGGGCGACCGTTTTCGCCCGGCCCGGTCAATCGTTTGCTGCGTGCACTCAGCAAACTGTCAGCTACCGAACCGATGCGGATTCGTCGGTAAAACACGTTATCGACGAATTATCGCTGTTATCTAATACATTGCGTCCGTTTGACAAGTAAGATACTTCGATAAACCCGGTCGCGGGCGACCCGGTGTAGTACGATAACAAAACTATACTATACCCCGGACGGTACCGTTCTCGTGCGATTTGTGAACTCGGTTACGCATGCTTGGCGAGTGCACTCATGAGCGAATCGTTATATCGATCCGATTCCTTGTCCGAATTATTTGGTTTTCTTTCCATTTCCAATTTGCCGTTATCAAAACGCGGTTTTTTGATACCGTCTTGTTTTTTTTTTTTTAAACATTTTTTCATTCGTTTTTCGATAGAATTTACTCCGCTACAACGAACTGTCGATTTTACTGTGTAGCGGTCACTATAAATGCGATCCAATACTCGATTTGACCACTAGGCTCAGTATTGTCCCAGTGTAAACCCGGCTTTGCGTTCGGCGCGATAAGAATCGGCATTCGCGTGTACACAACATACTCGTAATATCATGCGCAGTATGCGACGATAGGATTTCGGGAACGCCGCCGTGCGCAAATAGGGGTGGGTGGGCAGTAAGGAAAACCGGAGCGAGCCAGAGAGAGGGAGAGAGAGAGAGAAAGAGAGAAAGAGAGAGAGAGAGATACAATATTGTATACATTGCAATCTTTGCCGCGACGTCCTCTCCGCGGTCTCCAGCTCTCGCGCGATTTCGACGCGGTATACACGGGGGGCAGGACTCGAGAACCCGAGCGGACAGAAAGGGTGGAGCGAACCGACGGCGGAGGAAGGGATACCTCGGGGTCCTCGGGGGTTAAGGCTCAATTACGCGTGTCCGCCGCCGCCACTGCCGTCGCTCGCATATAAACCGGTAGTATCTCCGGGTTGACGGCTTATTGTCACGACCGCTACGCTCCGCGGAGGACCCTGCCAGAAACTCGTTCGCTCGTCACTCGTTCGCTTGTTCACTCGTTCGCCCGTACCGCCACATCGCACGTTCGTCTACTAGAAATCCATAACATTACTTGACAGATTTAGCACTCTGATCTTCTCAGTGGATTTTTTTCTGTCCGTGTCCGTCCACTACACACCAGGTAAAATGTCATTATTGTTATTATTATTATTTTTTTTTTTCAAATCCACGGTTTTTAAACGCGACTTTCGCAATATATTTTCGCCGCGCGAATAGCGATCGACGACGGTGACCCCGTACATACAAACGTCAGTACATACGTTCAGACGTCTCGTTTCAACAACCCCGTTTTGTCGTGTAATGAAAAAAAAAATAATAATAAAATAATAAAAAAAAGCGCGTCCAAATATCAGTTTATCGAAAATCGAATAAATTTAAATATTCAAACAAATTTGTTAAATCGCTCGGATGCTTTTTTTTTTTTTTTTTTTTTTTTTGTATTGCGAAGACGCTACGAGTTGTTCGATTTGATCTCTGTAGACTCAGTCGTTATATAATATGCACGCGCACATTTTCATAATAACACTGATTTTTTTTTTTTTTTTTTCCCCCGTTCAATTTCGCCTCTTTGTTATTTTCAGCGCAATTTTCGGCGTTCAATTATTATTTGGCGCAACTTTCTGTACAAATCGGTTTTACTATGTACAGTTTATTTTAATTATTTTTCTTTGTTTTATTTTATACTGCGCAACAACATCCAAACCCTGTACCTCGGCGGTAACAACCGTTAATCTCGATTTATGTACATCACTGCGCATTATCAAAACGTATTATTTACTATGTTATTATTGTTTTCGGTCCCTCGTAGAGATTCGCACTAATCGGACGGCTTTTGTAGAAGAAAAAAGCAATTAAAAGCGTTCCTATACACCTACGAGTACAGATGCGAGTATTTAGTTATTTTTTTTTATTATTTCGACGTATTTGTCCTTTAACGTGTAAAAGGTTTAACTTTAGTTTCTCTCTCGAAAAATTACACATTTTAACGAAGACGCCGATCGACGAGAAAAAAAAAAACGATTTTACACTCCACTAAAACTCTTGGGTGCCAAAACCATTTCCTTCCGTCGCTCTCTGTCATACGGCGCCTGTTTCCAGTCCGCTCCATTTTCTCCTATTAATTATTTCCCTCCCCTAGGTTTCTTTGCTCTCATCACATCTGTCGATACACTTTTCAGCTCTTTACAGGCCATAGATGGCCTGCCCATTCTATCATTGTCCCTCTAATCGACTTTGACTACGTCTCATCTTGTGCGTATTATATATAGTTGGTATAATTGAGCGTTAGTTTATATTTTATATTTCTATTCCACGTCGTTGTTTACGAGTCCGTAGGTTTTCCTAAAGATTTTACTCTCAAATACACGTAGTTTTTCCTCATTTTTTATCGCCATTACTTACGCGTACGTCACTGCAGGTCGGATGTAGAGCTTGTATGTAATTTTTTTTTCGTTTCCCTTAACCACAGCTCAAATCTAAAGAAGTTTTTTTACACATTGGTTCGTAAAGAACCTAATTAGATATTAAAAACAACTAACAAAAAAACACCGTCTATCATGAAAATAACATTTATTATTTTGTACGATTATACGGCTGTGGACAATAAAACGTATAAATTATCGGTAAAACGATCGTTTATATAAAGTAGTAATAATTTGTAATAAAACAGCATTACTTTATTATGTTTTTTTTTGGTCGATAATTTATATAATTTAATAGTTTAACGATTATTTACAAAGGCGTTTAAACATTTTTAAAAATACTCGTCTAATTATTTTTGGGAAGGAAGTAGGGGGATCGGTGAACGTTTCCCGAATTTTCTCCAATTATGTAAACATTCAAACAAATTGTTCATCGCCAGACGAACACGACTTCTATAATATCAGTGGGCTCGATACGATTTAGGTGGACTTGGCCGCCTAAAATACTTTATGAGTGCATTTTCGACATTTTTTTAAAAATACGATCAGTTTTCATTTTGTATGATATCCGAGGAAATAATTACATTTCTATTTCCGACATATTATCCTTGTAAAGAACCTAAAGGGTCATCAAAAAATCGAAATCCGTCAAACTAAATTCCTACAGTTTTGTCTCGTTTTTAGGTCTAAACCGACGAACATAATACACGGTCTCCAATCTCCGTAAAACCGATTTTGTGTTGCTAGTTTATAAAGACTTCTAAATAGAGATCGGACGTGTGTTCACTTAAAATCCTTAAAAAAAATATATATATATATATATATATATATATATATATTTTAAAAACACTAAACAAAACCCTGCAGAGTGGCTTACAAATTATTGAAAAAAAGCAAAAAAAAAAAAAAAAAAAAAAAAAAAAAATGGTAGACGAATTTAAATAATCGTTCTTCTAACGATTTTAACTTATTGAAATACAATTTTCAAACGCTACAAAAATAATTAACGCAAAGTACTTTTTTTTATAATTTAAATAGTTCAAATATTTCAAGAACATATTCACAAAGTTAACGTTAGAGTATTTTGTTATTAAATCAGCTACTTCAAACATTCTGAGAATGTCATGAATATTCTAATTTCAACTTATGAATAATATTTCTAAAAAATGAACGTTACGTTTATGTTATCTGGAAAATGTATGTATATAATATTATACTAACACAGACTAGTATACTGAAAATCAAAAGATTTTAAATCGCCGTATGTAATATGATGACGTGTGTTTTTTGTTCGGAAAAAAAGGCACACGTTTTGTACAATACTATACGGCTTGGGCCGTTAAAAACTGTTATTTCGGCTATTTGGCGACTTTACTAATTGACAGGAGTTACGCCATTGGGCCATTTTCGAAATTTAATTAGCTCGGAGTGTTGAAAACTGTACATAATCGATCAGATAAGCCCTTCTGTCCTTTCTGTCCAACGATACAGGTGGGTATTTATATTAAAACGATTACGAAAAAAAAAAAAAAAAAAAAAAAACAACATATAATAATAATATTGTGCATCAGCATACAATACTACACTGATATACGGTATTATATGATGGGAATAATCGTGTTATTATAACTGCGGCAGGCCGCGGTCGATGTGAAAGAAAAATACGGTTTTGAACCGTTCGCCGTGAGTTAGGCCGTACAATAATAATAATAATATTATCGTTTGATCAAACATAAATGACGAAATAAAATGCCAAAATACGCGCGTATTATGACGGACGGTTTATGAAAGCACAGCGAAAACACCAATTTAACATCGTTCGTCATACGGACGATGGGAATAAAATACACCGACGAAATATAATTTATTTTAGAACGCGTATAAAACAATCGACTCACTCGCGTTCATAATGATACAACGGAATATAGTAAACGGATTTATATGCACTTAAATGTCCACGCGAAAAAACTGAAAAAAAAAAAAAACAAAAACAAATCAAAATACAAAAACGTTAAAAGTGTTTTAAAAGTCTTCGACCAACGGCTATAAGTAATGAGATGCGATTTCCCAACGCTACAAAAATCATCATGAACACAAAGTAATTTTTTCTTCTATAACATACGCGTAATGCGTTTTTAAAAGAAATCGCTTTGTGTTTAATAATTTTTGCAGCGTTAGACAATTGTTTTTGATCCGTTAGAGGAGGGGGTCTTTTAAATCCATCCATACCGTTTTTAATATTTTCCATATTTTTAAGTGCTTTAAACTTTTTTTTTATATAGATTTAAAGTACGTATAAATCAAACATTTAATCCAATTTTAATAAGATGGCGCTATAACTGCATATTATGTTGTCTCAATCTTACAAACGTGCGTCCAGAAGCATAATTTTTTTTTGGTGGGGAGGGGAAAAACGGCGGTGTTGCACGGGTTGCCCTTCACGTACCATGCAATTTAGATCAAATAATAAAGGTAAATAAATTAAGTGAGAAATAAAATAGCTTCGAATAATTATTGAATGTCCAATGCTAATTTAAGGCGAAGGGGCTTGGCCGAGAATGGTGAGATTTTTTTACATAAATGTTTTTTTTTGTCCATTATACCGACTCTCCTAATTATCGGAAAAAAAATCTCTGAAAACATATTTCAATTCGTTATGAAGTATATATATATTTGACTATTTTACGTTTTTTAATTCATTTTGTTTTTCAATTTTATTAACGTTTTTACAATTCCAAAAAGAAAATTACGTTTTGAAGGGTTTAAGAGTTACATTTCAAACTAAACTTCGTAAAAAATGCAGACATGTCTCCAGGCGTTTTATCCGATTACTATAGGACAACTGGCGTACGATTGGCCTAATATTTGGGTCTATTTCGACAGTGCATACGTACAGTCGAGAATCGAAAGTCCGTTATAAGTCACGTCTCGATTTTTGTTTAATATTCCGTCAAATACTCCGACATAATAAACGTTAAAGTGTATTCGATTCGATTCGAACAGTATAACAACATTAGGTATTTAAATCGGTTTACAAAATGTTCACCAAACTGTATTGATAAACTTCAAAACGGTTAAATTTCAAACCGTTCGAACGTTATCATCGTTTAGACGTACCATTATTGTAACCGTAAAATTATAATTTTGTTATTACAGACGTTTGACGGCGAACAACGGTATTCGATTATTTTAGATTTTGAGTGAATCAAAGAAGCTTATTGTTTTACGAAAAACGTTTATTACTTTTTTTTTTTCATCTGCGGACAACTTTTCTATCAAAAATGTTGCTCCGATTTTAGAGTGTAGCACCTTTTTTGAAAGGAAATCGGGCGGGCGAGATATTTTAAAAAGGTAATTTTTTGATTTTCTCAGGAGCTTATCAATAAATGTGAAAAACCGAAAAAAAAAAACTGAGGGAAAACGGGAACAATGTACGAAATGAAGTATGGATGAAAAATATGTTGGCCACTTTTTTTTTCCTGTGAACATGATTTCTACCAGCAATTTCGCTCTTATTCACAATCATAGAACTTTTTCTGAATGGAAATTTGACTCAGAAGGTACTTTAGGGATTTTACATTTATTTAATTTTCTCAACAAATGGGAAAGACCGGGACAAAACATGAAAAAACCGGGAAAACCGTAGGAAAAACGGAAAAATCGGATTAATATTGAGCGAGTATTATTAAAGAAAATACATAATACCTATTTAATTATTTTATCTTAGTATGACACATATATATTGTTGACATATATATCACTATAAACTGAACTCCAATAAAATCTCCGGCCACGATTGATCGATTATTTTACTAACTCTGTTTAATAATCAACGTTTACGTTGGTGAGAACGGGCCTAAGAATCGTTTTTTCGTCAGCAATGGTTTATTGTTGCTTACAGATATACATTAAATTCCCTTCTGTATCGTACTTCCCCGACTTCCATTTATAACAGTGGCTGCACCCCCACACGCGAAGTTTGTCCGTCTTTTTTTTTTTGTATACCATTTTCCATAAAAAAACAAAATAAATAAACGTAAAAAAATTTTTCTGTTGCGGTGTAAGTAAAAAGGTATAATATTATAATAATTGCATCCCGGATATTTCTTGAGCACGTCCGATACTGCGTTTTACCTGCGATAAATTAAATGTCTAAACGACATTTTAATGGCTTATCGAGTATTGTATCGATTGCACAAACGATTACGATTTAACTTTGATGGTTTCCTAGTATGTTTCGCGTTGCATACAAACCCAATAATCGCATTATGCTGTGGACGATTATTTAGTCGGTTGACCAATACCCGAACACGTTTACAACAACGATAAAATTACAAAACGCACCACGCGGAATCGAAATATTATAACGAGCGAACCGATATTTTTTATCTGCCGAAGTAGGCAGGTAGTGAGTAACTATTTAAGCGAATAAGTGACGATAGTAGGAAAATATTGTTCGGTTTTTTTTTATAATTTACAGGACACAGCAATTGTATAGTATATAATATACTATTATGTAGATACACAAATAATCAGGACGCAATTTCGGAAGGAATTGTTGCTGCGCGGGACGCATTTCGTATGCAGCCCAATATTGTTCGTTCGTAAGCCTTTCACCGCTATAATCGCTTTGATAACTATTCGCGTTTTTTCATATACGATTCGTGTACGTAGGTGGATACATGCACGTAGGTATACGCGTATAACCCCACTTATAGTTGTTTTATTCTCTTGGCCCGAAAATGCTGCTATAATAATCGCGTCGTCGTTGTAAAAATATTTTGAGTCATACGCCAAATATACGAGCGTCGTCGCGTGTCCGTTACGATAATGCGAAAAACCGACACTGTAATAATGTTATACTGTTATGTATTGAAAAACAAGAAAATGCTATCGTCGCGAAATTAAAAAAAAAAAAACGTTGTCGCCAAACGCGATAAAGAGATTTTCCGTGTTGGCGCGCGTAAAAACTATAGAGAACTATTAATCCGCGCACTACCGATCCGGATCGAAACAAACGTTTACAATCCGCGTAATCCGGATTACGGGATAATACAAATAATAACGCAATATAAGTATTTTATAATCAACGACGAGAATATTTATTATTATTTCAATATAAATTTTCTACCTGCAGCAATTTCGCTCGGATTTACAATAACAGCACTTTTTCAGAAAGGAAATCTGACTGGGGAGGTACACTTCAGGGAGGTGATTTTTCGATATTCTAATGAGTTTACCCGATAAACGAGAAAACAGGGACAATATTAACGAAATATTATTAAAGAAAATAATATGTAACGCGTATGTAATTATTATTTTACCATATTATGACGTGTGTATCGCAGTGTAACACTATCGACCGAACTCCGCGTACAGATGTATACATTCAATTTCTATTATATCCACTACGCATACCCGCGCCCAACTTATCAACTACAACAACGGCCCACCCATGTGCGAAGTATATTGTCCGTTTTTTTTTGTTCACCTACTATATAGTCCATTATAGTGAAACGAACGGGTCGGATCCGAGAATCCGGATAAAACGGATCGATCTCCGGAATTCGGATCGCGAATACAACCGTAATCCGGATTCCGGATCCGGTCAAATTATCGCTCGGCACCAGCGAAAGCGTATACTTTTAGACGGAGCAAGGTACCGAATGGGCGGCGAATAAAAAACCGCGAGCGCTCGAATTATTGTCGGCGAAAAGAAAACGCACGCACAAATACACACACACACACACACTCAGTGGTCGGGCGATATAACCGCCACGCGATTCGCAGAACGTCCACAACAATATGCGAAAATCGAACGGGGAGGGAAAGGGGAAAATGAACCCGAAATGGAACGTAACGATGATACTTATATCCATAATATATCGCTGTTGTGTTCACGCAGTACCCAAGTATATATTTTTATGCGGCGCGTTTACCTATTATAATGAAAACTGTATGGACGTGTTTCGTGTATACCTGTACCTATAATAGTATACGAGTAGTCCGTGCCAAAATACGATATTATTTCAATGGGCTTTTTGACCTGTGTCAAACGTTTAAATCGCGACGCACACTCGTGTATGATATGGCTTCCCCTCCCCCTTATTTTTATATCGTGAAAATATTCTGACACGTTGACAGGTCGCCCATCGAACATTCCCGACAGCTGGTGGTGATTAATTCTCAACAAGACGCTCGTTATAAAATGTGTACCTCGGAAAATGTTAACTTTTTTCGCGGGATTATTTACTTTGGAAAATTTGAAAAGAATATAAAAAAAAAAAAAAAACCCGAGCAGCTTTAAATAGGGTTACGTTGCCGTTAATTTTTGTTATCGCTATTTTTAAGGGGCGAAACCATTATTCGTTTTCTATTCCCAAACATACCGACCGTACATTTCGCGGTGTTGACGTTTCGAATTTCCGTCGACGAGATATTCCGCTCTTAGGTTGCGGGTCTCTGAAGAGTTATAACGGAGCACCGTCCAAACGTTATTACTCTCATATATACTACACTTGCAAAACAATAAATTGAAAATCGGAACGTCTCGTCAACGGGCCGACGGACCCGTTTAAAATGTCGACACCGAAATCCATTTAAATTAAAACTGTTCGTGGAATTTGCAGTGTATATGTAGCTGTTTGAAAACCATAAGTGAATATCCCCTTCCTCCTCTTCCACTAACAACAAGGAGGGGGGGGGGGGATATAACGATAACGTATAAGAGCAGCTGTTCGTTTCGTTAATTGTCCGAAATGAAAAAAGTTAACACTTTCTGGAATAGCGATAGTCACTTCTAATCGAGAATTGATCACCTGTAAAACACAATTATATACTGTTATAATAACATAGTAAACCGACAAAATCACCACAATTTCGGAGTTCAACTGCCGCGCACGTGTGCATTCATAGTTTCGTATGGTCGGGATAATCGCGCGCCCTGTATACAAAATAACCCGCGGGACATTTTTCTGAGAATTATTTATTTTTTTTCTCGTTGTTATTATGCGGTTCCTGTCTGTTCAGCGAGGACGTCAACACCCGTCTGCGTCGTCTCCGGTACCGTACTCACGGGTAATGCGACCGGTAAATCATCCCCCGAAGAGGTCAAGACCTTTGTGTTCTCTTTTGCGATAGTAACTTGCAAAATATCAAGCGTGCAATTATTAATATTTGTACGTTAATTTGTCGAACGTCGATACAATCGTGCGATATTTAATACCTTTAAATTAGTTATAAGATTCATAGCACCCCTCCCCATCCCCCCAAAAAAGGTCCTATATAGTTACTGGCCGTCTCCGTCTTACAAAAACGTACGGTGTGTATAGCGAATTCGCGTTTCGGCTGCAGGGCCAACTTTGCGCTATTAATTTTCGTTGTTAGATGGAATAAAATTCACCTATTTATTATTTAACGATGTTAAACGTAAAACCGCTATATCTGAGCGACCGCGCGGGCATTTTTCGATGTTTTAATTTTATGGGCGTTTTTTTTTTTTTAATTGTGATAATTCGCATGATCATAATCTCTCGCCAAAACGTTGAAATATCGCAAAATACCAACGTAGTTGCACAGGCCAATATTCTTGGTTTTTAAGTTTTGATAATCGGTAAATTACGACTATGACAGCACAAAATTATGGTTGTAGTCTGTAGAACGAAAATTTGTCAAGACAGCGCACGCGGGTGTCGCGTCATCTGAAGCCTGTCTATGGTCCACATCATACGCGATAATATATTTGCGACATGCGATACTGTGATATTACTAAATATTACCGTTTATTTCATATTTGACGAAGTTTTAACAACAGAATGGCTTATCGGTGTATTATAAAATAAATGGTTATAGGCACTATCACAGTTGCGAATATCGCAACTCTTACGTGTGATGTAGACAGGCTTATAAGTCAATGATAGTAATACTTGTATCATCATTAACTATCGTCGCGTGGACATCGATGCGTGAATGTTTCTATCACCAAACTGCGAGAGCGTTGGCAACTAACGCCGATACTTACACATATATCACTATAGTTCGATTTTACTGTCACGCCATAAGTGTATACAGACTTTTCTATTGAAATTAAATTTAACTATATTATGTCGTTTTTTATTGCGATAGTCGCAACACCAACATTAATTACGATAGTAATCATCGTGTGTGTGTGCACTGCAGTATAACAGTACGATTTCGATCAGAAGACTTCTATATTGCGAACCGATCAAAACCTCCATAATAATATAATAGAAGCTTAACGTGTAGCGGCGTATATCCGTGTAATCGGTATTTCTTGTTCTTTTCGAAAAGGGGGTATACGTATTTGTGATATTATCGGTTTTCTATTCGGTAAGCAATTCGATTTATGTGCTAATACATTTTCTATACCCGGGCATACAATTTCCAACATGGGCGTGCTCGTTCTTCTGCAAATATTATTTGTAACTATTAAAAATCGTCAAGTAATATTTTTTTCAATTATGTGAATATAAATGTATGCATTCGAATATTTGATATTAAATTATTCCTGTAAATCGTGATGATTATTACTCGTAAAAAAAAAAGTTGAGCGTAAACGTGTCACGTATTTTATTTATCTCATTACCGAGTTACAAAAAAAAAAAAAAAACAACATTTTCTATGGGTTTATTAATTATTTTGTATTTTACAATTTAGATAAAAAGATGAATTCGTCGAGTTGCGCGTCGAAAAACACCGATTACTATCATCAGATGAGGCAGAAAAACAACGAGGCGGCCAGGAACAGCCGTTTCAAGAAGAAGGTGGCCGAAATCGAAATATCCGCTCAAAAGCGCAAGCTGGAAGTGTCGTACGTGCAGCTGAAGAAGGAGATCAAACGCATACAGGTCGTGAAGGCGTCATAAACTCCCGTCATTACGATTAAAAGGTTAGTTTGATCGATGTATATTATATTATAATAATAATCAGAACCGGATTGACTAGATCACAAGTCAGTCCGCAGTTAAACACTTTAGGCCGAGAGTCAACTTTTATCAACAATAACTAATGGAAATGGAAAAATTAATTTTTCATAAAAAAAAAAAATACTAGTAATTATATCCAACTATATGATAAATAAATAACTACAACAAGTCATAGTCTCTTAATCCCCACTATATAATATTGAATAAATGTGATTGAAGAGGTTTCGGACGATCCAGGAGACCCAGGCTTTCCTTATTAAGCCACTGGGACTAAGCGACTTTATCGTATAAACGTCAAATATTAAAAAAAAAAAAAAAAAAATTGAAAAAAAAGCGCCAACAATTTTAATTTTTCGAAAAACATTTTTTTTTTTTTTTAAATTTCAATTATAACTATAGCTAACTAAAAATTGCTTGGTCGCCTAGTTCCGAAAAATCCACTGAGACGGCGCAAGGCCTCATAAAGGAAGGATCTCCAGTACCCTGCACGTCACCCGGTACGCGAGTTAAAATTAGACCACTAAAAAAAAGCTTATTATCTCTTCAGTCAGGTAATAATAAAAATAGAACGGAATTATTTCTGCGTTGGCATATATTTTGTTAATAATGTTTTCGTTGTGTATATTATGCAGTTCTTAAGTGTTTACAGCGCATCGTATTATAACAATAACATTTTTTTTTTTTTTTTTATAATATTTTAAGAATAGGTACGTTTTTGTCCGACGGGCCAAATTATAATACTGCAGACGAGATAGGTCAGTCCGCTTTTGCCGACCGGCGGACCGTCTCAGTCCGCCCCTGCGTTAATAATAATATTGTAAACATGTGTGTCCATGTGTAAACGCGCGAAGTTTGACGGAATAAAACGAAAACTGGATTAGGTGATCCCTCTGAAGGACTTTTTTTTTAACTTGTTTTTTTGAAGACGATCAGACTGAAAACGATCGAATTGTTGTTCAATATACGACTACACTACACTCGCATATTGATATTATATTATATTCTTTCGAGTAAGTCTAGGATTGCGTCGCGCGGAAATCGTCGCAATATCCGCCGGTCGGATAATACCGTGCGGTTCGCGGGAAACCGACGAAGATAATTTTCAAACTGCCGCGGCGCGCGACGCGGAAAACTTTTCAATTCGAGAATAATATTATTTCCGTCGTGGCTTACAATATCGATTTACAAAAAAAAAAAAAAAAATAAATAAAAGTAAGATTTCTCGGCCCGCGTATTATTATTTCTGGAAATTGCCTTTACGCTCGCGTTCTCGATTTTCGACGCGTGACGACCATGACCGCGACTCTACAGTCCCGGGGGATTTGTATATTTACACCGCACGAGCTCTTAATAATCGTTTTCGTTTCAGTTTTTTTTTTCCTCTTCCCATAAACCGATCGTTTACTCGGGAGACTTTCAGTGAATTCGATTTCTGTGTTTGTCAACCGTTCTGGAATCGTATATGCCTCGTTTTGAAACTGTTTTTTGCAATTCGTTACACCGTATTCGCATTACGCCTCAAATGAGTAAATATACTTTTGTGTTTTAAACAAGAACCCCCACCCCCGTCTTTTTAACACAATCTCGAATAGAGAACATTTGTCTAAACATTTTATTATGTATGTACATAACAGTTTACAATGACCGGACGAGTAAGGGAAGGGTAATTTCATATCAATTTTCTGATGAAAAATGCATTTACCATTCCCCATACTCATCCAAAATGTAAACTGTTCTTATTCAACAAAACGATCAATCAATTGATCAATCGGATATTACGCCCTCCTTTTTTTTTTTTTTTTTTTTTGGAAAAATATCCTCTTTTCGAATCTGTGTTCAAAGGAGGGCGGGTAGAATCAAAAGTCTACACTAATTTCAGGTACAATTAGTAGAGGTGGAAAATTGTAAATAGCGTTTGATTAGAGCTTAAACCGGGGATGGCCAACGTAGCTTTTTCTATACTGTGCCAAATTTAAAAAAAAAAAAAAATTAAAATAATAGAGATGTGCCATGAAACACTAACACTCGCGTATCATTTACAATAATATAACAATATATATTTAATTTTTAATATAAATTTAGATACCAGCTTAATAATATGCTTTTACATCACGTTTCATTTAAATTAAAACAATAATACAAATAAGTATGAAATTTATTCTATTTTCATAACAATTGTAGCGATTTTTTTTTTTAACGGGAATGTTGAATTATTTTTTCTTTTGACTATTATCTATTCATAGTTTGATTGAAGTTTCGTTTCATAAATTGTTTTAAACGTGAACTTGTTTGCGTGGTGGTTCGGTACCCACGATAGAATCCGTCCGACAAAAACTTAGTACACATAATATGTGTATGCCGAGTTAATTCCGCAGACTAATTTCAACGTCAGAATTTTCCCGTCGTTTCCAATTCGACATCAGACAACTCTTTATGTTTAAAACTGTTGTATTTCGAAGGTCAATAATCGCACCCGAGGGTTGAATTTCCGGAGATCGCGTGTTCGGTGCGTCGGACGGATTAATAAATACGTTATTCGTGTATATCTTCTTATTGGTCTTTAAATCCGCCGAATATTTCTTCGGTCTCGTTGATACGGGCGTGAGTTCATGACGCGGTATTTTATCCGAAACTTTATAGTGTGCCGTCCGACAACATCGAATGCGCCTTGGCCAAAGGCGCGCGTGCCGCAGGTTGGCCGACCCTGCGGCTTAAACGGTCCCACAATGACGGGGCGGGGTGGGGGGAGGGGAAACGAAATCGCCGGTTCGTGGCAAGCGGATCGTCCGGTATGTGACGTCGCATTATAATAGGTGCGCCTATACGACGAATGTATCGGGAAGAGTGACCGGTGGCGGACTAACAAATTGTTGCCGGGTCTCCGCCGGCGAATCTCGTTCAGATCCAGTGTTTATTGTATGGGTAGGTGCCCGCGATTCGTACGAAAAAATCCTTTTCGTCGCGAAAATATTTCCCAAAATGCGTACATTATAATATAATAATATGGTACAATACTGTTTGAATTTGTATAGGTGCGCGATACACAACTGGCGAACCGTTTCGCGGGGGGTTAAAACGGTATAATATCGTACGATAATAATAAAAGTGTGGGTGTATACACCTGTTCGCCGTTTGACTGCGACCTACTATTCAATAAGAATACACGTTATACGGGGCGATTCCGTCCTCGCCGTCAGAACTAACCTACGCTCGTGTTATTATTATACGTATCGTCGTTATGTGCACAGGGAAATGTTCGGCCGTGTTTTCGGCGATTTCTGTACAATACCGACGTTGTGGTTACGCAATTCTCGCTTTCTCGAAACGTTTCGTTGTTCTACACGTATGTTTTTCGTCATTTTAGCGGTAAAACCGCGCCACGGGAATTTGATTGTTTCGGTTCCGTCGAGTCGAAATAAATTATTCGTCGACCGCCGCGGGAACTTAGTGCTTCCCACTGTTCGGTTCTTTTCTAGAAAAAAAAAAAAAAACAAACACACAGAATTGTACAATAGTAAAAACAATGATTTAGCCTGATTCAATCGTCCATTTCTAGTACCAATAAAACACCCGATTTACGTATACTCGTCGTAACAATAGCATCGATTATAAAATAGTATGCACATTAAATCTTGGTACTATTTTAAAATCGATTATTTAAAATTAAAAAAAAAATACGGTTGTAGGCGAAAATTCGGGAAGGTATCCTGACCTTAAATAAAGTTCATTAAATTCTTATATGTACGCAACGATATGAACCATTACGAAACGAGTTTCTGAGCGAAGGTCGGTTATGTACATGTTTAAAATATCGTAATTTTCGTAAGCATTGGTTAACATAATACATTTGAAGTATAACCAAAATGGTGATAATCATACGATTAGTGATTAGTGATAACTCCATGTAGATTTTCATGAAATATTTAAAATCCGCGAAAAGATTAATTCGAAAATAAATTAATGCATTTCAAAGACAATGCGATTGTATTACGTATAGAAGAAAAATTATCTTGTAACCTATCCAAACTTAATTTTAGCCCTTCCCCACCCTTCCGAAAAAAATTAAAATTTAATATTAAATTTTCAAATAGACTTTTATTACTTTTTTTTTTTTTATCCCGAATTATAAATGTTCACAGAACGCTTTACAATTTTGCTAATATTAATTTATAAACTACCCGTAACTAAGTAATAGAAATATAAACAATAATATTTAATGAACAAATTATTAAATTAACTGTGAAAATTAACTTGTATTCGAAACACGCGTCGAATTAAATAAGTGTAATTCAAAAATTACAAAGTTAATCGTTTTCTTATCATGTATAACTCGGTATAACTTGTTTGTAATTTTTTAATTACTCCATAAACCCAGCAGTTTTCCCGGATGTATTTTTTGAGAATGAAACTCGACTTTTGCGTGCGTTATTCTCGTCGCACGGTCCGCGAACATTATCTCGTGTATCGGATTTCCACTAGACCCCAGGGCATAGTGAACATCCACTGTTCGTCTCTTAAAAAAAAAACTCCACTCGCACTAAACGACACCTTTCGCTAAACTTTCGCACTTTCCGATATGCGCTTCCCTCCCGCCAGTGAGAGTGTTTCCTATTGTATTGTAACGTATAATAAACCGATTAGTTTGATCGTTTGCCGTTTATTTTCTAGCGGACGCGCAGTAAACAAATTTCACTCCACTGGACGTACAACGGACATTTCGATGTTTCCGTTTGGACCCCGAAAAGTCCTCCGTTAAAAAAAAAAAATTTTAAAAAAACGCCCGGCTCCGTTCATATAGAATTTACTCCGTGAACTGTTCACGGACACCAACGGTGTTATTATTAAACGAAAATTATTGTTTTGTTCGCGGCACGTGTATCGAATGTCGGTTTTGAAAAACATTATTTAAATGATATTATTAAAACGCATCTCCGTAGACGTATTGTACATCTATGCGCAATAAAATAGTGTATTAATGTCTGGGGACCGATGAATTGTTGGCAACGCGTTAGACCAGTGAGTATTTAATATATGTATATATATATACCTACTAACTCCGGTGCGTTCCAATTATTACCGTGTTATAATTTGTACAGGGTGTTATTTTTATGCTATACCGTATATGTGCGCAGCGCCGTTTGTTTACGAATAGATTTGGAGTGAATCCGATACCTACTCGTGGAAATAATTGTCGAAAATAAAATGAAAACGCGTCCCGTCGCAACGGAACACGTTTTCATGTCTCTGAACATGTCTTACTGCAATGAACACTGTCAGTTTGGAAATTGAATTTATTTTTCTCCCGGTGTTTTAATTCTTCACGAATTGCGTTTAAAAATCTATGAGTTTAAAAATATCCAAAACCGTCTGTTATGGCGCGATTCGAAAGTGTCCTACCCGGTTTCCGGTTTTGTTGGGTTGCCGACTGAAATCGAAGCTTATTGAGGATCTTGGATTGATGACGTCGTCAAGCCACGGTGCTTCCTCTCTATTTCGACTTTTGAGATTTTTTTTAAAAAAAAAAGAAAAGGTATTTTCTTACCCGGGTAAACCTATACAATTTGTTTGAAAAATGTCGGCAACTCCCATTGTATTTAACTGCTATGCATTCGATAAGAGAATATTTTCACAGACAATTAGATACCAATATTATAGATGCGAGTAAATTTAGACCGGACGAGTAAGGAACAAGAGTTGGTGATAAAATTGCACGTGTCTATCAAGTTAATATTATAAACTATTATTCGTTTTGAAATGTGAACATTATTATGTCTGAAATAATACAATTAATAATTTAATCGAATTAACGTTCAAAGGTTATTCGTAGGCTTGTACAGATTTGCCGGTTAGTAGTTTGTATATTATGATAATGATCAAACGAGCACCCTGTATATAGATACGTGTATTGTTTGCCGTAACTCGGGTCAAACGTTCGGTCACTCGACGACTAGACAAACTCCTTTGCGACAAAAATAACCTTTTCAAAATATAATATTATATTATAAACGCCGGCGTTTAATATACGAATCGCTACAGTTTTACCATTAAATTAATATATACTGTCCAGTATTTTCTTAAATCTTTTATTTTTTTTTTTCAATTCGGAAAAAACATCAATACGACATCTGTTATTATGCATGTACCCTGTCCTCCTTAGTGTAAAGGCACCTCCTAAGTATTGGCGACATAGTCATAACTCATATCATGTAGTTTTCAGAAAAATAATATTTTATGAATCGCCTTGTTTTCCTGATTCCTATCGATACAAAACAAAAAAACCGAATGCGAACTATAGTACTAGCAAAATTATTGTATGGTGTGATTACGTGCTCAGCGGTTACTGCCTTTTCGCTTATGGTCAGTATAGAAAGTCAGTATCTATATTATTTTTTTAAAAAAAAAACACGTGTATATAACCACGTTTATTATGAAATCTATTGCATTTACGGTATTTTTACTCAGGGTCAGAAAGACGCGTTTTAAAAAAACAAAAACCAAAACGAATATTTCGATACAAAAAAAGCAATTTTTCAAATTCTGTCACTTAATACTGCCCTTTAGGTCCAGGATGGCGGTATTCTATTTATAATATTCGTCAAGGAGTATTCGAAAATACCACGGGCCACCCCGCCCCGGTTTTGTGCTCGAACACTGCGGACACAAAGCCCACGTCCGGTCCGCGTCATTATTATAACCCTTTTTTTTCTTCTTCTTCTGATGACCGGCTGATGAATTGCGAATTATTTGCGGTCCTTTAGTTTCGCTGCACACGCACAATACAATACGTTTTTACACGATAAAAATCTGTGTGGTCTTAAATCTGTTTCCTCGCTCGCCACCACGACGGCAAGACTTATTTTTATTCGTTCAAAATCCCATTGATGCCGTTCGCACACCTGCGTTCGCGTAATAATTTGGCGTGTCGATCATGGTAATAATAATATCATACACACTCGGAGCCGTGTCGGGCCATTCGGCGCCCAGGGACATCGATTTTTAAACGCCCCCTTTTAAGATACTTCACTCGAGTACGATTTGAAGGATGAATCCCCCCCTCCCACCAAAATTTGTTATTTTTTGTGTGTTACAATTTTTTTGTAAATTCGTATTAAAATTTTAACATTTTACATCCACCAAATGAGATTCTTCGTTACGCTTGAATTTGTTTTTCTAGATACGCATATTACGTTACTCGGTTGTACCCGCGGTCTTGTAATTACCAAACAATATTAATTACTGTTTTAAGCAAATAACGTTTGAAAACAAAACAAATAACAAGCGACAGAACAATAGTGATATTGTTAATTTTATTTCGAGTTTTACGTTGAGCCGGGTGCCCGATTGTTTTAAAAAGCTCCGACGCCCCGGGGCAAATGTCTCCACTGCCTTCTCCCCTTTAACACGACCCTGTATATTATGGCGATTGGTTTCCGCGGAACACTCGCGGAGGTTAAGTGTACGCTCTCATTAGCTATTAGTTTTGAAAATGTACGATGCACACACGCAGTTCTAAAATTGTTATGTTTTTTAACGTTTTGTGTTTGTTGGCAGTGCATTTTTGAATTTCGAATGACGGCGTATCTTGCAGTAAAATAATTCCACGAGTCACAGATAAAGTATGTTTTATATAGTTGACATTAATTCGAGTGTTGAAACGTTTAATTTATCTAAGAAGATATATCACTGATCACTGCCACTGGTCGGTGGTTTTTTTTCTTCTTTAAGAGACGCTATAGTTTCTTCCTACTATTTTTTTTTTTAAACTATGCGTCATATTGTACAACGTTTGTCATCAGACCTAATACTTAACGTAAAATTATAAAAATAATAGTACGAGTACATCGTGCGCATACCAGTATATCACTTGATGGTAGATTATTCCCAAACAGAAATAAACTCTAAAGGGATTACTTATATACTAGTCTTACTGACAAAAAAAAAAAAAAAACAAAATCACTCTGTATACTTATAATATATAAACTTACACACACACACACACACACACATACATACATACAGATATTGTGCTTGTTATTATAATATTCGTTCAGCTGATACGTGCGCATAAATATAGCCGGAACGCATTTTCGTCGTCGTCGTACCTAACACGTTTTTTAATCGTTATTGTCCTACCTAACGCACAATGAAATAATTTTTTCTCACTAATGCGCGCGTAGATAGTAAAATTTAAAAAGAACGAAAACTGCGTACAATATATTTCGTGATACGCCTGGAATTTAGGAGAAAAAAAAATCTGTATATACATTCATAATAACAAACACGTTAAAAACGCGTATTGGCCAAACTTGTGCAATGTATAATATTTCGACGGTGTTTTTATTGTACAGGTACACCTACTTACCTAATACCCGGTTAACTTGAATAAATTTTTCCTCTCCTCCTCGAAATCAAACTATCCGTATCCGGTACTTATATACCGAACTGAATAAACGCGTTTTAAGTTTAGAGTGCCTACCCGCACCTATAGCTCACGCTCTAAACTCGCGAAACGCACAGTCTGTAATATTATAGTTTACGAGTACATGCGAATATTATTATTGTAAAATAAATATTATTATAATTGCGTGCCACTCGTGGCTTAAAATAAATATTTTCATTTTCAATTATACTTCAATAAATTACCGTAATATCGCTTAATATTCTACACTATAGAAATGTAATCTATACATTTTGTGTATTCTACGTTTTTATCTGCATTGATAAAATGTTTTAAAGTGTATTTTCTGATACTTAAACAGTATAATAGTTTAAAAAAAAAAAAAAAACAACACGATCTTAAAAACGTAGCCTGTTATTAAATTGACGAATTATGTTCAGATTTATTACCGTATCGTAATAGATTTTCGCCCGCTCGTACTTAAGTTGAAAAAAAAAAATTGTCTATTTCCCCACGGATATTTCTATTAAACAACAAAAAATCATGGCGACATACATGACGGTAACACCGCCATAATACTATAAATAGGTACGTTATGACCTTACCAGCAGTTTACCGAGCACCGATCAGAATCGTTTTGTGATTGCAATAATTTATCGTTCGGCATAAAAACTATAAATACCGCCTACGACCCGTATTCTATAATACCCACGAAAGAAAATGTTGATTTTTTTTTTTTGTTCGAGACGGTTAAAAATAATCGTGGAGATCTGTATTTTTCACAGAATGCGTGTATATTAGCTTCTTCTAAATGTGATAAAATCGTTTTATGCATTCTAGCGATTTTTCAGCTAATTATTTGAGAGGCATTTGACATTTTTTAGTTTTTCTTCGGTTTAATGTGGATAAAATCGTTTTGGACGAGCAGAAAGTTTTACTCAATGAGCCAAAAGCCGAGCCGTTTTTTTTATACGCGAGTCAAAATTTTGAAAGGAACCGTAAAAATCACGGCACGTCACAGTATGATGTTTAACTAAACTTCGCTCAGAATCGTGTTCCGTTAGGTTATTGTTTGGTAATGATTTATCGTCGCATATAGCATACTATTTAAACAACTCTATGTATCGTATATATTTTTTTTTGAATAATAATCTCCGTACAATCGTTTGGTTTTTTTCCCGATTATTAACCTGATGATATTGTATTTGTTTTCAGATGTTTCCCGCGATCATCATGGCTGCAATATGAACATATTTTTTTTTTTCAACCGGATAATTAAAAAAAATATTAAACTATAGTATAATATTATTATTTCGTTGAATTTCTAGTCAAAACATACATTATTGACTATTGTACATGATTTATTAACATATTTTGACTGTCATTTAACCAGTAATAAAACCTACCAAACTTAAAAAATAATTTTTTTTTTTTTTCTGTATTTTGACTATATTATATTTTTTTTTCCTACAATATTATACTTTTGTAACATTTTAAAAACTCGAATTTATTATAAATGTAAATTTTACCTTTAATTTTGTATCATTTTTTATTATAATTATTATTATTTTTTTTTATTATTATTTATTATTATTATTATTATTATTATTACTAATTTTTTTTTTTTTTTTTATATACACTGATGTGATAGGAATGTTTGACGTGGGAAATCAACAAGCAAAAAAAAAAAAAACGGAAAACAAAAAACCCCCGGGTAAAAACCCGGGGGACGTACTTGATGCATTTATTTTTATTTGCGATTTATTCCTTTTGCAATAATCTCCTGGTCATTCATTTCGATCACGACCTTGTATATTAATATTTTAAATTATTTTATACATAGAAACGTATAATTTTAATTATTATTATTATTATTATTATTATTATTTTTTTTTTTTTTTTTGTTTTGTGAATCTCAACAATATTATTTGTATTGAAAATTATTTTTGGTCGTATTTTATAAACACACGACAACTAGCCTTTTTTTTTTTTTGTCTGATTTAAAATGTAATACAAAAAAATTTTAATATCTTTCGGGTATGAAATGTCATACGAAATATATCATAAAAAAATAATATCATTGTGCGTATTGATTTTTGTGTCCGTCTAAAATTTAATATTATACAGTTACTTTTGGCAGTTCACTGTTATGGTGTTCAAAATTACACGGAAAATTTAGAAAAATACCGAAAAAGTTTTTCCCATTTTCGGTAAAAAATTTAAAAAAAAAAAAGACAAATTAAAAAAAAAAACGTTCCAAAGAGTAATAATTGATAGTAAACAAAGAAAACATAAATATACGAATCATATGGATGTATACAACTTCCATGATGATAAGTGGTAAGTGATAACATAATAATATTGTGTCATCAGATTTTATACGCGTATACAAACGTATTATAAGTAAACGTTTAGTGTACATACTCAAATTGTATTGTGCTGTTTATATTTTGCGTATTATTCATAATTTTAATTTTAAGGTAAGACATTTTTCAATAAATTTATATTGTGTATGTAATATTACTACTTACTGTACTTACTGTATTCGTTACTATTGTTCGGATTTGAAGTCAAATTTATTATTAATTTTAAATTTTAACATTTATCGTAATATTTCTATGGCGAGCATTTTTTTTTTTTTTTTGAAATTCAAATAATGGTACTTTTTAATCAGCTAAATCAACAGTTTAATGTGTTGGTGCCTTTATGTACAGAAGATTTATCGACAAAATCTGAACGTACACATTTTCAACGAAATCTGTATACCCATGTGCACCATTGCAATATAAAAGAGGTTAGAATAGTCATCTAAATATAGTAAATAATAGTTTCTTATACCTATTTAATTTGTTTTCAATGATAATTTTAGTGTAGATTTAATTGTAGATCGGGTACTTACAAAAAGTATATAGAATACAAATGTCTATTTTCTTTTTTGCTCGGGTACTCGTTAATACCAATGGTCGAGTTGGGCAAGGACGCAAGGGGACACTGTAACTCAATTAATTTTTGAGAAAATTGAACGTACCTATACAATTTGTTTTAAGTGGAACACATGGATCGGTACATTTTTTTTTGAATTTTATCAAAATGTATTTTCATTAAAATTTGAACTTAAAATAAATAATAATACAAAAATACTACATTATGCCAAAATTATTTTTCCTTATTTTTTTTATCACTAATCAATCTCGCAACTCACGATGAATCTTTGTTTTAAATTTTCGATTATTTTCACCGGGACAAAATAAAACCTTAAGTAGGTTTTTTCACAAATCTTGTATCACTTGTTTAACTATGTTTTACTACAGCACCTAACGGGTTAGGTTCAGTTCAATAAGCGCGAGGGACGCTAATTGTGTTTAGTCTTATAGTCTCCAATTTTTCCAATTCGACCACCTGTAATTACAATATCATTCGATTTCGTAATTCAATATCTCCCCCCCCCCCGGGAAGAATCGCAAATACGCCGCTGGTTCGAAATTTTTCGGATCCGTAAATATTAAACGTACGAACGCTGATTTCCTAGAATACATCGCGTACTTATATACATACGTTTTACTGCTATCAAAACCGCCATTTCATTTTGACAGAAAGAGTGATAATAAATGTGCGTAATATTGTTCAAGAGAGATACAGTTATATCGGTGATGTCAAATACTAGACGCTAGTGCATATAACGATATACAGAGTGTCCCACCGAGACATACCCATGTATCGGTCCTTAAACTCCCTCTTAACGGTTTAAAAAATTTAGTGTTTTTTTTTTTTTTACTGATAGTTTCTTTAAAATAAAACAATATGATCATCAATTATTTAGCATAGTATTTATTTAGTCTGTTTCACGTGTATAAATGTAAAATGTTACGTGTACTGTTATGTTATTGAACTATTGCCACACCACGGCCCGCGGACGTAAATTATTTAATTATAATAATAATAGAAATATCTCTGGAAATAATAAAGATAATCAAATTCTGTTTTATTTATATTGCTTACAGGGATAAGGACTACAAATATTTATATTAAAATTAAAATTTTGGTAAATAAATTTAAAAAATAATTTTTTATTTTATTGTTTTCGAAAAATGTGAAGTCGGGTGGGTGGCTATTTCATAGAGTTTATTTTCTGAACATTTCGACTTTTCAACTTTTTATTTTTATTAAATTCGTGGTTTTTAATTATTTCTAAAAGTTCATAAAAAAATGTGTATAGAGAGTCAATATTAGTTATTATTACAATATTAATTATGTTACATTAATTGTCATTCCGCTTAACTATAATTATGCAGCAGGCTGTATTCGCATGCGCTAGTTGAGTTCTCTTATAGGTGATTGACTGTACACATTTTTTTCTCAATTTTTTCAATTATGTTGTCATTACCTATATTAATGATTTACAGTGTCAATTTTACACTATGCGATTTGCACTGTGATCAGCGCAATCTAGTTGACAAAACTATAGTAAACTGCTTTTTGATATCTTAAAATCGACTTCACATTCAATATACATTATTCGCCGTCTCTATATTACACTAGAATATAGTTTCATCAGCTTTATTATCGTACAAAATATATTCGGAACCGAATTTTCAATGTGAAAATATCATATGGTATCCGGATTGCATGAAAAACATTCTAGTATTCGTTACAACACCAAAACATTCCCCGTTTGTGATTGGTCCATTTTAATCGCGTGCGTCCGGAAATTTCATATTGTATCGCTTTTGTTAGAATTATTATCGATTTCGAAATTCGCTGGCGAATAAAGTTGACCGAAGGCTCTAAGACGGAGTAATTTGTTTCTAACATTGATAACGGCAACAAAATATAATGGCATTTCCGCACGTACACGATTGAACATAGCCCGGCAAAGTCGAATCGACAACCGAACGATTTTTCCACGACTTCTTGTTATTCTGACGTTCATAACGGTTCGAAAATACATCAAATAAAATAAATTTTTTTGCTTTTAAAATATGCTCTAAAAGTATCTGGTTTGTCAAAAAAAAAAAAAAAAAAATTGAAAAACAAATCTTTTGCTCATAACGCCAATCAAATTAACAACCCAAATCATTATCGTTAAACAATTATCACTCTTGTAAATAAATACAGCTGACTTGTAAAAGCGATTCAATTGACAAGCCAATTTTTGACTGGTAAATAATTGTATGCGACCAAAGTTAATTAAACTTGCCGACCTTTACATGTTAATTGTCATATTTTGTAATTTACCAACTTGGCTCCTGGTATTAAAGTAGACTCCAGAATGCTAATATAGGTCCCGATTCGATATTGTTTAAAATGACTACTATTATTTTTTAATACTTTTGGACCTTTGTTGTTACAATCGATGTTATTTGTACGGAAATAATCGAGCATGATAACGACCATTATTTAAAAAATAAAAAAACTCGTTTGAAAAATTATTAAAAAAACACTTTTCTGAATACAGTTGATTCTTGTTTATATGAACCGGGACGTCGGACTAGATTTTCTTTTCTAACGGATCACGAATGAACGAACGCGAGTGAATAAATAACACGTGCACTATAAGTACACGCGTAATACTGTTTTCATTGTACATAATATATTCTATTTCAATGAGCCAAAGTTGATTTTTGAAAAGAAATGTTTTTGTTTTTTTTTATTCCTACGTTTTTACTGTTTTTCAAATGTATAACATATGCCTAATATATTTTCCTTTTTTTTTTTTTTTTTTATGTTAAGTATGTTATAAAATGAATATTATTTTTTCGTTAGATTACATACAAAATGTATTATTTATATAGCCGAGAAGAAAATATTGTTTAATTCATTCTTTATTTTTATTTTATTTTGAAGACAAAGATAACGTCAGTATTTTGAATTTAAAAAAAAAAAATAAAATAACGATAAAATCGTCTGGACGTATAATATTACATATTATTTTGTTTTAAAAACCGAAAATATTTTTCAGTATTTAAATACTATACGTATTCGAACACGTATATTCGATATTTTTACTAGAATGAAAGTGGATGGGCAGGACTAGTATAAACATGTTTTCATTCCATTTGATTTTTTTTTTCTCGTCCGTGATTCACGGTCAAACACGATACGCGATTTCAAAGCCATATTTATTATTTAACTCTGCCGTTCAAGTTTTGCCTAACACGATTTCAATCACGAATTCGCAGCATTATGGATTAGATAATACCTATAGTTTAAGTGCTCGTCCACTCGACCATGTACGCGTTATCTTATAAAACCCTCGTCTCTGCTCTCAAACAATCGTTGATACCCCCACACACTATACACTTGTGATTTTTTTTTTTTTTATTACTTTTCGCTAAAGAACACTTATTAGTATTGTATTTTTTTTCCACCGTTTTCGTAATAACAACACAAACGGTGTATAGGTATAATGTATAAATTATTGTGATCCGTTTTTAATGAGATTGATTATTGCTTATGTTTTACAAACGTGCAAATAAAATTACCATATGAAATCCGAAAAACCATGTCTAAAATGCGATTCCGGTTTGTAATTATCAAATTCCATTTATTATTATAATATTATTCAAAGACCGTTTTCGATAACGAACTAGAAAACTTTTGCGAAATATTGGTGTTATTTCTTCTCAAAAACAACGGACACGTAAAAAGAAGTCTTTCCCTTTCTTCTAGCGGGTATCTAAAGGCTAGATAAACATATTTCAAATACGTTTCTGAAAATCGAATCGAATATTTTAGAAAATAAAAATATAATATTATACAATTTTTTTCTGTTCGAATAAGAGCAACTATACACTTAATCTGCGGATACCGCACTGGAAAGTCGTACTAATCATATTGACCACAGATATTAATATTAAAGAAACATGTAAAATATATACGTATATTATAAATGTACGGATATCGGTAATGAGGACATGTCGTAATTTCCACTGTTTAATAATACAGAAAATGCGCTGAATTAAGAAGTGTCGCTAAATAATTATTTAATAGCTAATCATCACCAAATAATGTTTTTATAATGGACAGGTTGAATGAATATATTATTCTGTTCAAACATTTGTAAGGGTTTTGTAAGAAATATGTACATAATATAATAGATGACAATTACGTTACATATCCGTTTTAACGCGTTTAACAGTTTAAACGGGAAACGGAGCTGATAAATAATTCGTAAACCCGTGGTAAATTTGTCGGGGGAAGGTTTGGTTATTTGCCGGAAAAACGGAACGTGGAACGACAGGGCGAATGAAAAAAAAACTTGTCGGGAAATAGAAGAAAATATCAAATTAAGCGTTTAATATTTTATAATAGGATTTGGCTGATTATTTAAAATACGGTGCGACTACGGTGATTTAACATAATATCCGCAACACTTTCTTAAGTGGTCGAGTTGAATACTGTACTATATAATTTCTATACTGTTTTAGTAGCTAATGCATGATGCATTTTAGATTGGATTGGATTGACGTATTGGACTCGATAATCTGAATAAAACGGATTGATCCGAAATTCAAATTATGTGATTGTGATTCGGATTTCAAATTAGTCTGAGTATTGCAAAGCACTAGTGGGTAGCTAGGCAGGTGCACTGGCGGTTTTAGGGGCTGTAGGTGGATCGCCTTCCCCTCTAGGCCTGTTTTTATGTGTGTATACATAGTCACCACGACTTAAGATCGTAAATCGTAGTCGATCTACTCTAATAAGTAGGTAGTATACTTTTATTCGTTCTACATTGGATTCCATATTTTCGGAATTTATTTTATTTCATGTTTTTACCCGATGTTTTATAACAGCGGTAAGTACTGCTAAAATACTCATACTTACTTCTCTCCGGGCTTTTCAAAATTATTATGAAAACCACTTGGAAAATTAAAAAATGACCTCCTCAACGCACCAACTAGATTAAATTGCATACATCATCGTAAAACCAATTGGTCCTCTCACTACGCTCCGAATCAAAAATACAATAATAATTCGAATAAAAAAAAATGCTACTAATTGTACACATTAAGTGGTGCCTAATATTATTTTGTCTGTTTATTTAGCATAATTTGTAACTATTTACACAGTTTCCGTAAAATAATAATAACTAATATAATCTAATGTCAACAATATCATATCAAAAGGCCACTTGTACATAGTATTAATGCATAATGTATACAAGGAAGCGTGAAGATTTTATTCAATCCGTATTAAATATTAGGAAAAATAAATTATCTATAGTCGCTTCGTAATAACAATAATTTTACCACAGCAGGTGTATTGACGGAGTGAAGGTACGTCTACGCAATCATTAGGAAAAAAACCAAGGATGGTAATATACGCATAAAAAAAACATTTTATACATCCACGTATAGAAAACGTATAAAATGATTAAAACAAATAGAACTTTATAGCGACTAAAACGTACGGAAATAATACATTTTAGATTCAACCGTTGCCGTAAATATCGATTCATTTCAATTATTCGGTTTTTTCCAGTTATTATGAAAACTACTTTGGATGTCAAAACATGACCTCATACACCAAACAGACAAAATTACCACTCAGAAAATATACTATACCCTATACTTTGGAGCGAGATTTCTAGATTTCCTGGTAGAAAAGTCGTTTACAGACAAATACAAATAAAATAATAATAATAATAATAAGAACTACCACACAGTAAAACCAAAATTACGTATATTTTCGGTCGTACAGTCGGTATAATTTTAACGGAAGATTAATTGTTAGAAATAAATAATGATTTTCACATTCAATATTTCCCAATAATATGTTTTTTATTGATCGGCGTGTACCTGTGTTATAATTATTATTATGTTTACGCGGTTCAATGAAACGGCGTTAAGATTTTTTTTCTCGTACCTATCATAATATTACATAGGGCGAACCAACAATTATTTAGGTGGATTTTAAGTGAACTCGATTTCTGCTTGTTTTTAAACATTATGGAATCGGTTAAGTTTTGTTTATAAAACGTTTTTAATTTTTTACCCCTATACTCTATAAACCTTAAATATATATATATATACACAATTGTTTTTTCTATCTATCTAGATAGATAAATCATTTGATATAACACAAAATTCTATGATTGGTATGTTATATTTATGAATGATTTATTATAGATTAAGTAAATATATATAATGTATGTATTTCTTTTATCAAAATTACTTTAGAAACCCCAAAGAATAATAATTCAAGAAAATATTTTATTGGTAATATTAAAACTTGATACTCCGCGACGTGCAAGACATTATTTTAAACAATCAAATATCAAAATTAGAAATTAGAAAAAAAAATCATCAGAGTATTACATCAAAATGTTAGAAGACTTCAAACCAAGTTATTAAATTTCGAAGCCTTATTTAAGCATTTAAAAACCAATAATTATATTACTGATAATGCTCATGATTATTTATTGGTAGGTAAATATTAAACTACATTAGTACAGATGTTCCCAAACTTTATACCGTACGACTTATTTTGGCTACCCACAACAAATGTAGGAAAAATAAGACGTCCTGGGATAATAGAGACGGTTGCAACTACTGATATAGGTAATTTAAAGTATATCTGTAGGCAACGATAAACCATTGCAAACGAAAAAACGATTCTGATTCAGTTGATAGTTATGCTTTGTCAACAATTTATATGTCATATTGTGGTAAAATAATTAAATAGGCATTATATATTTTCTTGAATAATATTTGTTTAATATTGTATCGATTTTCTCGTGTTTCTTGCGTTTTTTATCGGATTATCACATTTGCTAAGAAAACGCTTGGAAAAATCGAAAAACTACCTCCTTAAAGTACCTTCCGAATTAGATATACTTTCAGAAAAAGTACTATCACTGTAAATCAGAGCAAAATTGCTGGTAGAAAAGTTGTACACAGAAAAAAAAAGACTACAATATTTTTTTACTAATATCCACATATTGTACATTTTCCGTTTTTCCGACATTTTATCCCGGTTTTTCCTATTTATTATGAAAACCAATTGAAAAATCAAAAATAAACATCTTAGTAAAACCAATACATTCTTCGCTACACTCAGAGTTTACGAAAAAAAATCCAATTTATTTATTTAAACATGTACGAGGGCATACCCAAAAGAAACCGAACTGATGTTGTGTCGGACAGGGTTTTAGTAGTATCGATTTTTTTCCGGTAGGGGCGTATAAATATACTTCTCAACATTCAATATGCCAACGGCCGTCATTGTGGAAGGTTGTGTTACGTTGGTGTGATATTTTTTATAAAGGTTATTTATCGTACTCGTCGTTTTTGTAATGGCTGATTTGCGTGAACAGTGCGTGGCCGACAAGTTTTGCTTCCTGCTCGGGAAAACTGGCGCAAAAACCCTTGAGATGTTGAAAACAGCTTACAAAGGTGATACTTTAGAGAAAACTCAAGTATTTGAGTGGTTTTCCCGTTTCAAAAGTGGTGAAATGTCGATAGACGACCAAGCTCGCACTGGACGTCCTTCGACGGCGCGAACCAACGAAAATGTAGAAAAAATTCACAAAATTATCCTGGAAGATCGACGGCAAACCATCGAAGAAGTAGTGGACAGATCTGGTGTGACATGGAGTTCAGTACAGAGAATTTTAAGTGAAGATTTGGGGATGAGACGGGTGGCTTCAAAATTTGTTCCTCGACTGCTAACTGAGCAGCAAAAACAAGGTCGCGTGGAATCATGCTCTTCTTTGAAAGAAGAATTCCAAAATGACCCAAACTTCTTTTACGAGGTCATTACAGGTGACGATTCATGGTGCTATGGATATGATCCTGAAACCAAGCAACAATCGAGCCATTGTACATTTAAAAAATAATAATCCTGCACCAAGTATATACATTATATATTGTACATTGTGTATGATTAATTTATTATTATAGAATGCTATTGCTTTTATTATAAAATTTATAATATGATTGACAGCACTTAATGTAACTATTTATAATATAATATTTTTGATATTATTTTGATATTTTTTTTTCTAGAATAATACTTCAGAATTAATAAAAGAAACATTGAATAGAAAATTTAAATTTAAAAATGCTAAATACTCTCCAGTCATTCGAAGCTTTGTATTGATCTTAAGATTGTATTCCTCTAAAACATACAGGTACATTAAACAAATATTTAAAAATTTACTTTCTCATCCTGTAACTCTTAAAAATGGTATTCTATTGTTCAAGGGGAACCTTGATGCACTAAAGCAACATTCAACACAATTTCTTTACGAGTAGAGCAGTATACATAAATACAACTTACAGTGTGCAATATAGTTATTAATGATATGGCTTTAAGAAAACAGATAATATTTATGAATAATAAGTTTTATGGTGGTATAGACTTCAGTACTCAAAATGACTATGATCAAGATAATATATAAGAGGCTATAAGTATATTGGTTTTTTTTGCTGTATGTTTGAATGGTTATTGGAAAGTTCCACTAGAGTACTTTTTAATACACAGTTTTTCCAATAGTGAAAGGGTCAATTTACTTACTAGGTGTTTAGAATTGTTCTAAGAAACTGGCGCTATATTTAGATCAATAATATTTGACGGAGCCGAATGTAATATGACCATGTGTAAAATGTTATGGGCAAATTTTGATTATTACTCAACACAAGTTAAACCTTGGATACATAACTCAGAATTTTCTGAGGAACAAAATAAATATGTATACATATTTTGGGATGTAGCCCATATGGTGACATTGGTCAGGAACACTCTAAGTGGCAAGAAAGTTTTGATAAATAGGAATTGAAAACCGATAAAATGGAATGATATAGAAATGTTACAAGTAATACAAGAATCAAAAGGATTACATGCCGCAAACAGATTAAAGCAAATACATATAAGTTTTTATGAAAACAAAATGAATGTTCATCTGGCAGTACAATCCTTGAGTTATGCTTTGTTATTATGTAAAAAGCTAAATTATATAACAGAAGTTAAGGAGACCGCAGAGTTTGCAAAGTTTTTAATAACGATTTTGACCTATGCAATTGTAGAAACACACTATCAAAGAGGGACTATTTTCCAGTAAATAAAAAAACCTTATAACGTATCAAAATTTTTTTATATAACTTTAAAATTTACTTTGAAGGTTTAAGATATGTAAATAACCAAACTTATCTAAATAGAGAATTAATATTAAATAGTCAAAGAAAAATGTGATATTTAGGAATTATTATTTGTCTTACAAGTATAATTAATCTATTTGAGAATGTTAATAAAGAAAATGTCATGTCATTTTTATTAAGCCATAAATTAAGCCAAGATTATTTAGAAGATTTTTCCAGTGCCATTAAAAGTCTGGGAAGTTTCATTAACAATCTAAATATGGTACAATTATATCAGCGTACTTTTGTACGTTTGTACTTTTGAGAAAAGGCTTCTCGTTAGGCATGCAATTAGTGGATCTATTTATGGTAATTGTACTATTTTAGATAGTACTGATACAAAAAATATATTGTTTGTGTCTGCAAATAAAAAGGATGGGTGCTGATGCTATTTTAAATAATGACATAAATGATACAAATGATATTGATCAGCAAATTATATTTGAGGAACTTGAATATGACTATGAATATCGAGTTCCAGAGTTAGAAGATTTTATCATAAATATTGTAAAATATACTTGTAGATTCAAAATGAGAAGGTCAAAAAGTATTTGTAATATTTCTGATTCTTTTTTAACTGAAAAAGATGATGAAAACAGTTCTATACTATACAAATTAAAAATTTTAGGCAAATTAATAAACTCCATAAGATATATCTAGCCTCTGAATATATTATATGCTTGAATTCTGTTGACATTATAAAGAATAAAATGTATACACCAAATATTGTGATATGATATTGTAATCATGATGTGTTTGATATTACTTAAATTGATCATCAGCTTTTTTATAACATTAAAGTTGCACCACTATGCCAAAATGCACACACTATTCATCACTGGTAAAAATTCAAGGAAGAATTTGACTAAATTGATATTATTTAAGAACCAATAGTTAGGTTGTTGTTTAAATAATTTTTTTTATAGTTAGTAAGTTGTGATTGTTTATGATTTTTAAGTACTGATTGTATTTAAACATTTGATTAAATAATAATATAACACTTTAAATTTGTATAGTGTAAAATAATTATAGTTATTACTTATTAAATTCTTGGGCTGCTCGTTTCCCATTGAGTATTTAAAAAAAAATTATAATGATCAAAAATAAATTATGTTAACACATTAGTTACATTAACACAAATACGCAATACAAATGTTATCAGGTCAATAGTGGATTGATTTGAATTTACGTGCGCGTAGTTTGAATAATGTGATAATTGATTAACCAATCAGAATCACACGCATGCGCACAAATAATCAGGGCTCTAGATCATTATGGCTTCAAGAATTAGCTCGATGGCTACATCCATAGTATATGATCTAAGATTAAACCATTTGAAAACGGAAAGCATAATTGTAAAAAGATTAAATTAACACGTATTAGTGTAGTACATTATTATCTTATCGACAAACACAATACATGGTAATAATATACTATAACAATAAGCATGGGTATTAGGTATATGTAAAAATAATACAATTACTAACTTAATAATATAATAGACTTTAATTATTGTTATTTTTTTTTTTTACTTTGAGATTGTTTCTAAAATAGACTGTTGCACTATTATGATATGTTGTATTTGTTTATACATATCCATTTTCGGTACGCTCTGGACCAAATGATTTCAAAACTCGGTATTAAGAATATTGTTTTATTAGCGGATTGAAGTGATAAAATGTTGGTCGAATTTCGATTCGAACTTCACCATGTTCTTGCGGAAACTACAATTGTAGCTTCTTACGCCTTTAAACGAAGCCAGAGTACGATAATGAATAATCATTCATTGTACATGCACGGTGCTAGTATCAAGCATATGCCTTATGCCATATGCCTTAAGCATATGAGAGTTTAGACTTTTGACCGCTTTCCTAACCATTTATATGCCCAAATGTTACGTTTTCACGGGAATTGCCGGGTTTTAAATATCCCTATACAGACTCATCAAGTAACGGGATTAAAATTTGTATGTATAAATATTTATAATGCTGTCGAAGATGTGCGTTTAGTTGGTTTAAACTTCTAACCTCAGCCTCAATTATCATCTGTGTGTTAACAAAAATAATTTTTGTTAACATTTTTGAAAAATGTCCAGAACTACTTTAACTATTTTGATGTAGATTTTTTTGTTCGATTTCTTATCATTAATGGAAGTTTATAGGGTAGTTTTTATAACTGAATGAGGGAGGATATTAGACAGTGAAATAGGGCAAGGAGTGGTAATGTGTATGTTCTAGTGAATACTAATCATAAATAAATACAAACTAAATTTAGTTACACATATAATATCATACTATCAATACCAGGGAGCAACTCTCTCAACCATAATCATTTTAAAGCAATTATAAAAAAAAAATTAAATATTATTTCTGCAACCAGTCGGCTGGAAGAAAATTGGATTCTAGTCACGCATGTTTTTTTTAGTGTTCCGTCATTTCGACGTGCGCCAAATAAACTCGGTTAATTGAACGAACGACAATTAGGCGCGAGCAACATTTAACTTTGACGCCACCACATTTAGGCAACAATCAATTTCAACGCAAAAAAAAAAAATAAATAAATAAATAAATAAATACAAAATTAAAATAAAATAAGTACCAATTATGGAATGAATAATATAAAATGAAATTTGTCATAATTCATTGTGTTGATGTGAACACTTATTCTACCAGAAACCTTACTCCGATATATACGATGTAGACCTTTTTTTCGAAAGGAAAGTTTTTAAGGAAAGAGTTTTCTCAACAAATGTGAAAAACCGAAGAAAAAACAGGAAAAACGGGAAAATGTACGAAAGATTATAGTTGAAAAATATTTCGGCCTTTTTTGCCTGTAAACAACTTTGAAATTTACCAGCAATTTAGCTCCGATTCACAATGATAACACTTTTTCTGAAAGGAAATCTGCCTGGGAAGGTACTTCAAGGACGTAATTTTTCGATGAAAATGTGAAAAACCGGAAAAAACACGGGAAAATCGAGAAAAATTTAGGAAAAACGGGAAAATCAGTACAATATTATTAAAGAAAATATATAATGCTTATGAAATTATTTTACCATAATATGAGATATATATTGACAATATAATGTTGACATGGCATAACTATAAATTGAAATCCACTCAGAATCGTTTATAGTAACCGATGATAATTTATCGTTGCTTACAGATACAAATTAATATTCCCTCTATATCTTACCTTCCCAACTTCTCACCGACAACAGTGGCTTCATTACCCTATTATCCAAGGAGAGCATTTTTTTTTTGTAATTCATAAAAACTTAAGTTCAAAAAACTCAGGTACGGCTCGCTGTACATTAAAATAAACACGTGTATTTATATTAGATAAGTAGATAAACGGTAAACCCTGATAAAGATAATGATGTGATTTTGGGTTAAGATGGGTTTAATATTGTATTTATTTAATTTTCATTTTCTATTTTCTTTTCGGTTTTGCATCGAAATTAAATCGTGCCTAAATGTGGTAGCGTTAAAATTGCATGTTAAAATGATGCACGCGTCCAATTATCGTCCGTTCAAATGACCGCGTTCATTTGACATGCAATAATTTCTATTGCGGCGAAATGACGTATTTCGTTGTTTTTTTTTTTTTTTTTATCATTATACAGTTGAATTTATTATACGAATACATAGATTTATTTTGCATATAACAGGGGCTTGTATTTACGGGAGAGTGATACGAA